TCTGCTCAAAGCTCAAAAACAGCTACCAAATACCATTTTGTTAGCTATTCTGAAGATGTAATTACAGAGAAATCTGCATATGCAGAGTTCATGAGTTGGCTTTAAAAGTAAAAACAAAAATCTAATTTCTCGGCTATATGATATAATAATGACAAAATAATGTCCTCTGTAAAACCAATTCTGTAGCTCATTGATTTTAATAATTGTAATGTTTGACTCCATTAAGTTAACTCCCTGCTGTATAAGCTGACTAGTTAAAGGGTGTGGGCCCCACAAAGGTGCTGTGGGGGTCAGAGGTGAGCAGTAAGTGAGTGAGTTTGTTTATGGGATGTTTGAGGCAAAGTTCAGCTTACAGGTTTTTCAGCTCTAATTAATCTGGAAAAACAACAATCAACAGACAGGATGGAAAGGAAATTTAAATCTCAGTTTCTGTAATCATGAAGTTATTCAAATAAATGTTGATAGAAGAAACTAACATTCAGTAGACCACAGTTAAATGAGATTGTGGATAAAGTAATGAATCACTGTATATGGGATATTAGTTATTTATGTTACTAGGAATCTTTATGTCATTTTCAGGTTTAATTGATTGGCCTGCTGAGTATTGACTGTTCTGAATTACCACCACTAGATGTCAGCATATCACAACTGATTAGAGCTGTTCCTGCAATCAGGTATTTAAATATACTTTCCTCAGATTTTATATCTTACTGCAACAAGTTCGGACTTTGACTTAGTTGTTACTACTAAGTTTACGTAACCCTAACGTACACATTTAACTGATTCTGTTATTTATCACAAATGCCAATACTATTTCCGGGGTTGCAACTATTTTATTATGAATTAATCAGTTATTCTTCTGATTTATTGGTCGGTGATGTCTATGGAAAAATACCAATCATAACACGCTGCCAATTGTGTTTTCAGATCAACAGTAAAAAAGATATTCAGTTTATTATCTCAGTAGACAAAGAAGCAAATCCTCACATTTGAGAAGCTAGAAGCAGAAAATATTCTGCATTTTGCTCAAATTATACCATAAAAGAAATAAAATCAAATACACACTCCTAATAAAATCATACCAAGAAGAGTTCAATAACTGTATCATATGTCAATTAACATTTGTTGAATCCAACATACGAACATTGAGAAAACTTTGGCTCTGCAGTTATGCAATTATTGATCTTTTGTCTTCTTTGAACCAATATTCCACCATGGATCAGTCACCTAGTTAAATATGTAGTAGTAGTAAGACTTCTATGGTGATATAGAACCATATTGAACCATTTCTTCATACAAAGCAGACAGACACTCGTATCCCTTACGGCACAATATTTATTCAACAATATACAGATTAATTTCTCTCTACATCTCAGACTGATTTTCAGTTTTTTATATTTATCTTGCTTTCACCTTTGTACATTTTGTATTTACAAGATTTAAAATAAGTCTTTCTCTCCATTTATATAACATCAATAGTACAGTGTTATCACATGGTCCAGCAGCTTCTCTCGAAGCATCTAGATGAGATTCATCAATTGATAATCTGTTTACATTTCATACACCAACTGACTGTCTTTGAGCCACAGAGCAGCAAACTGACAGAAGGGCTCAACATGCACCAAAATGTCCAGGTGTGGCTTTTCTCTCTGTGAGGGCAGGCGGATGACAAAATGGATGGTCCTCTTGTTTCACCCACAAGAGAGAGGTCCTTCGCTCTGCAGCACCACAACAGGGTGTATAAAGAGAATCACTTAATGGGGACACTGTTGAGGGCTTGCACCTTAAGAATCTGCTTAACTGTATCTGCCCCGTCCCACCCGACAAGGATCAATGAAAGCCGGTACACCAACAACGAAAAAGAAAAACAAAAAAGGGGAAAAAATGTTGCATAGAATCAATTCTGACTTCAAGAACAGAAATTTTGGTGCTGCCATTTTTAAAATGTGGCTTTTTGATAAACTCCTGAGACCTTCCAGACCCCATAACTTTTTATTTATTTTTTGGTTTTGAAAATAAAATATAATAAATAGCTGTACCCTTAGACTTTAACAAAAATAGCATTGTGTTGAATGTGACATCACATAGAAGTACTACTTTAAAGAGACTAAAACCCTGCATTGAGTGTATACACATTTGCACATCTATTATATATCATTTCAATAACTATCTTGAGGAGAGAGGTGGATGGATTTAAAGTGCATTATACTGTATGAAAACAAAGCCCACAGTTATCACATGCAGGACAGGAAATGAATGTCCACCAGCAACAGTGGTTGACTAAGTATAAACTGAACACAGACGTTTCTTACCACTTAAATGAGACTTATTTTTTGAAATGTAATTGGACCTTGGATGGCAGAGACAAATTCCAGCCACAGTCAAGTTTTTATCAACACTCACTGGCTGGTGTTCATTTCCCGCCCTGATCACATGCAAATAACACCAGACACTGAGGGATACTTGTCTATTGGTTACTCTAAGTCAACATACAGTACCAACATGGCTGCCGGTAACCTTGGTCAGGGGCACTCATATTAATGACATGAACACGTCACCAGTTTTTAAAAACAGCAAAAAAAGGTGCCACTCAACTCACAGCAAAATACAGCAAATGGGAACCTGGCCCGTTGTGAGCCACACAGCACAGGGAGGACAGCAGACAGACCAGGTGAGAGTGTGAACTGTAGCTGCACTCCTCTCCTCTTCTTCTACAGTCCAGTCCAGCAGGAAAAGGAGGAGGAGGAGGAGCATGTGAGGCCAAAGAGCCGACGATTGAGGCTTTTTTGGCCTGAAATCTTTAAGGCTAAAGCGCACACAGGACTCACTCTGGGACCAGGAGCAGCAGCTGTGGAGGTATCCAGCACAGCGGGAGCATGAGTGTGTGGGGATTTTCACTGCAGACTGAACTGACGTTTATATACATTTATCATTCATCCTTGTTTTAAACAAGCACGTGAGCAAGACATGGAGAATGCGATACAACAGCTGACATCTATAGTACACAGACGCATAATATACTGCTTTTACACGTGAACAACAAAGCTAAGTAATGAGTGTGAAAGTTCGGTGTGTCGCACACACCTGTGATGAGTGAAAAGAAAACTCATGGCAAAAAAGGTGAAGCTGCATCTAAGGGCACGTTGAGCCATACGTCCAAACATCCCTTTTTTTTGTCCTTTAACTTTAAAATAAGACCAGTAAACAGAAAAAATAGGCATTTTAACTTAAGACACCCAAGCAAAAACAAAACAAAACAAAACAAATTCCTTAAGGAGAGGATGTGTATTGGCACATCTGGCAAGGACAAGGATGAGACTTGGGTTTGGCTCGCTGGCTGTTTCACGCATCTGAAACAGCAGTACTTTGTGGGGCACTAAACATGCAAACAAGCACGCCATGTTCAAATCAGTCAGCCTGGGCAGGTAGCACTACAGAAGGCTAGCTAGCACTGTGCGCAGATGCAGGCATTTAACAGCAGAGAAGATCCAACTCCATGCACATACGGATAAAAAAAAAAAAAAAAAAAAAAGAATTGCACTTCATAAAAATCATTACATAAAAAAAAAAAAAAGATAAGCAGGACATTTTTAGGGAATTCAAATAATCAGGTTAATCCCAATGTGGTTGTTTGATATACAACAGAAAATACGAAAACCTGAAGACAGAGTCGTGTTCTTGTTTTGCAGCTAGGTTTTGTGCATGATGCGATTGAACTGAAATGCAAGGCCGAGATATTCAGTCATAACTCCTCACATGAACACACACACACACACACACAGATTTTACTGTGTCATTACAGTTACATTGTGAAACCATTTTGGTCCGCACTATTTAACCCCCCCCTTGAACTGGTCAAGCGCTTCAGTTTCAAACCTAAAGGGGGGTTCTTAAATGCTGCGTCTGATTGGGAGACAGGTGTCTGAGTGGCAGGTGACGACACAATGAGGTAGAACAAAATGTTTCATGAGCATCCAATCAGAGCACAAAACACAGAGACAATCGTCATGATGACAGCTGATGCGCAGTGACTAGTACACGCCACCAGAGGGCAGTAATTCACTGGCTCAGACATGACACCACACCACACCACACACACAGGCCAAACAAACACTGACAAGTGCTTTCAAATGGAAGGACCATTAGATGGTTTGAATCATAATAACAATCCAATATAAAATACAGTCATTGCCTCTTAGCTTCAGACCCAAACCTGCACTGTACAATGTTTTAATCCAGTTCTGCCACAAGATTCAAATTTTATATCACGTCACATGATGAATTCATTCTTCTTGTAGCTGCACATTAGTGATTTTTTTTTTCTTCAGATTTGTCCAGTTGAAAGTTCGGGGCAAGACAAAAACCCTTACCACATTCCAGTTTGGTTTTTACAACAATCTTAAAAAGTCTGATTTTACAGATCAAATGAAAATATTCTAATTAGAGAATAAAATGAAGGTCATGGGCTGAAAACCTAGAGAATCACTTGGCTATGACAGATTTCTGGAAAATCATTGTCAGAAAAGTGAACAAAAACAAATGCTACCTTCTTTGGATTGTGATTTAAAAAAAAAAAAACACATTTAAAGAAATTTTATTCAAAAAAACCCATTTATGCCTAATTAAAAACAGCAATTAACAAGGAAGATAATCAGCAAGAACGATTGCACGTGAGCCCGGGGAATGAAAGGGAAGGAATGAAGAGAACCCACTCTTCTCCACATGAGCGACGGTAAGTGTTATTGCTGATTCATTTTTGACTGATTCAGTCAAGAACTAAAACAAAAAAAAATCTGAAATGTCATATGTTCCCCCCCTCCCCAAACAACTAGCGTGGTCTGTCGACGTTCCTCCTTTTGAGGAGTTTCTGTGTGGAATGTCACCTCGGTCATAGGGAGGATGCAGTGAAATGTCTTTTGCACTGAGGGGGCATTTTACTTTTTCTTTGTTGTTTTCGTACATGACTGCAGGTCACGATTGTTAGTTTAATAGATGTTAAAAGGGTGAAGACACAACTCTTGAGGTCTGCTGACACACACACACACACACACACACACACACACACACACACACACACACACACACACACACACACACACACACACACACACACACACACACACACACACACACACACACACACACACACACACACACACACACAGAGATAGGTAGACAGAAGTCATATTAGGGCTGTAAAGACCTGCAGAGAAAAACTGCATGAGGATGTGTGTTATGACCAGGTATTTTGTGTGTGTGTGTGTGTGTGTGAGAGAGAGAGTGTGTGTGTTTGTCTACCATGCCCTGCACTGCACATTAGACCTGTGATATGATCTGCATGTTGAAGCTGGGGGAGCGGGACTGCTTGGTGAGAGGAGCTCCAGGAGACAGGAGGTCCTGGCTGTCCTCTGGCCTGATGAGGTGCTCCTCCTTCAGGCTAATGGTGGAGTGGCGGTGGGAGCCACCTGCTGGAAGCCCTCCTTCCTTGTCTGAACCCCCCGCTGCCTCCTCTCGCTCCTCGTCGCCTCCGTTCAGGTTGAAATTCATGCAGTCAAAGGACTTGCTGGAGGAGGTGCTGCCAGTCCGCACCAGCGTGGGCCCTGCAGGGAAGCTCAGGTGCTTCTTTATGGGGCTCAGCTGGATGGCATCCAAGTTGATGCTGGCAGGAGGCGACTGCTGCCTCTGGTGATGCCTCCTCATTGCAGCCTGGTGATCTGCCGACAATTCTGCCTGTTTTTCCACCTCCCTCTCCCTCTCTCGCTCCCGTTCCCTCTCCCGTTCCTTCTCCTTCTCCCGTTCCTTCTCTCGCTCCTTCTCCCGGTCTCTCTCCTTGTCCCGAGACAGCCTGGCTGTGATGGCTTTCTTGATGCTGCTGCTGCTGCTGTTAAGGCTGCCGCCCCTCGGCCCAACGCCGCCACCCGCCTTGGTGCCGCTGGGCTGGCTGCTGTTAGATGCCCCGGAAGAGAAACCCTCGTCAGGGTCGTTGATGTTGAAGGAATCTTCCCCGCCGCTCATACCATCAGCGTCTGAACATAAACATGCACGAACATACACAGAAAGAAGCATAATAGACAAACAGAAAAGTGAGCGAGGTCAGACATTGACTGAGGATCTGTTAAAGTAAAATCTGACTGAACAAAACTTTTATCCCGAATGTCTGTTGGAGAAAATTTTGACATGCAGAAGCTGTAAACAACTTCCAAAATACTAAAAAGCCAATCACTATTCATAGTAAAGTACCAAAATTATGAATCTGATTGATTGTTGATAGTGATAAATCCGAGCAATGAGATTTTAAATGTTTCGAGTGTTGTGCAGAATAAATTAGAAGCCTAAATTAGTAGCCTTCAAACAGGCCAGCAGCAACACTCGCACTCATGCTGCTTCATTAGCTCACTCATTAAACCCAAACCAGAGGGACAATCCAATACAGTACACAATGACCTTGAGCTTTGATCATCTGATGTAATTCAGATCGACTAAAATCTGACTAGCTAGTTTGTTTAGGAAAAGTGCGAGTTCAATAACCTGCCTGATAAGGGAGCAGAGCTTGTATTGCAAAATAAGTCATATTCAGAATATAATAATCAAAAATATAACTGAATGTTAACAATTAATACCTGGTGAGTAAATTGGTAGAATTCTAACACAACAATGACATGAATAAAACTAAACAATTAAACATTTAATAATCCATCTATGACCTCTTTGTTGGACAGCTGAAAGGGAAAAATATGATAAATTAAGTTAGAAAAAAAGCATGTTATTGAAATACAATATGCAGGGTAAAGCCTGTTAGAGAAGAGACAGAGGATCAGCCATCTGTCTCTGTCATGCATCGTTGGGACAAGCAAAATTGGACGACAGGGAACCACAGGCAGCACCAGAAAAGAAATGGAGAAACAGAGAAGACAAAAGGTCTGGACTGACATGCACATAACATGAGGAGAAGACACATGCTCTCCTGCCCCATCCCTCGTTTCTCCCGCAGTGCCGGCCCACCGGTCACATAGTTGGCTGGCCTAGACGAGCCCGCCAATCTGTGTAGAGCACTGAGGCGAGTCCATACACCTCATCAGATCAATAGCACTCCAGTTAGAGCTGATAGCCCTCAAGTCTAAATGGGCAAGTCTGCAAGCCATTGCAGCCAACCCAATCCCAAATGAAGAGCTAAAACTCTTCAAACATGGATGCAATTAACGGATCATACCAGTGTTCTTACATGTTTCAGCCTTTTGAGTACAATTTGCTTATGTTTGTTTGTGCAATACATTTATGTGCTTTCTAATATATCAGTTTCCAGTCCTTTCAGTATGCCATTTCAGCTGTGGACCATTAAAAAAAAAAAACAACAAACTCTTCCTTGATGGTGCATTCAAGGACACTGTGACATGCAAATGTTTAGAGCTGACTGTGAAAAATTATTGCACATGTAAGGTGTGTTTCTAAGAAATTAAACATTGAACATATGAACATATATGGTCCATGTGAAAGGATAATGTGAGTATTGTAATAAGAAACCAAGGGAGGAAGTGCTACTTGGATCTGGCAGTATCAAGAGTTAAAATGTCTGTTATTGTGGCTACATTATTACAAACAAGAAACTTTTAAGAGTGTGCGTTGGCCTCAGCCATTCACTGGCATTAACACTGGAAGCCGAATTAACCAAATCAAAAGATCCAAGCATCCTTAAACACAGCAACAGCGAGTTGCTCAAACTGTCTCTATTCGTAATGGCAGAACAAAAAAATTAAGCTATGAAATAAGCTATGAAAGAGTAGCTAGCTCAAGCAAGGTTTGCGTTACGTTTATTTAAGTGAAATGAGGGAAATCAAAAATGTGTGGCATACTGTGGAAAACGCTTGTGTCGAAAGTAAATGCAATTTGTAGTTAACCGGCTTAAAAATGCAAAAACCACCAGTATGGTAATTTCCAATATCACTGCAATGCAGCTCCAAAATAAAAGGACAGAATGTCCAGTAATTGCACAGAGACCTCGAGCGATCAATCTTGTAAATAATTAGCAACTTTAAGGATTTCTTTCGCCACAGCTGCACCGAGTTTAATGAACGATCATGGGAAGAAGACGGGATGGCACAAACACTGACCGTTCAGTCAAGTCAAAAGCTCTGAGTGATGTTTCAAGATTTCAAAACATGTAGCAACCATTGACAGTATGGTAGCAACCACACATGGAAATGGACACACATTCAACAAGACAAAATGGGCCGTATGATAGGTCCTGGCAGTAGAATAGCCTTTGCTGTTCAAAGTGTTGGATTTGTTAACCTTGACAACATTCGGTCTGCTCACTTGGCCTTGTCATTTGAAATGTTAAGTGTTCCAGGGTTTCATGTTTTAGCAGAAGCTTGCCGTAGCGTGCGCATGCATGATGAAGGGCTCGTTCCCACTCACTGAGCTCAGGAAAAGAAACGCAACAGGGCAGAACACAACATTAGCATACAATAAAGCTGCTGGACTGAAAAAACAAAATGGAAGGCTTCTTCCTGCAGAATGGCGGCAGCAGATGGGTGCTGCTGGCCTGAGTGACCCTAAACTTGTGGAGCTGTCAAACACTGCGAGTGGCAGTAGAGAAACAAGATGTCGGGTACTCCTGTGCCAGTTTTGTTAAAACTGATGTCTGTTTCCTGTTAAAACTACAGAAAAAATGAAACCAATTATCAGACATGGAGAGTTGAGAAAGCCCAGAGTAAAAGGTCAAGCTGCAGGCTGGGCACTGAACATGCTCAGTGAGTGACAAGGGCGGCAGTCTAACGTACGTTGGAGGCATGATGAGGAAAAAAAGAGAGGATATGACATGATGACATGGCCCATGCAAAATGGCCACTAGCCGCACTTCCTTCAAACCCAGAATAGGCGACTCTTCCACTCTTGAATGAAACGAAAAATAGCAGTGGTCTGGTAGTAGAGGGGTTTGTTGGCTGAGAGTCTTATAGATTGGATGAGTTAGTATACTCTGGGGAAGTGAAGAGGCAGCCAAAATGGGAACGGCAGAGTTACCCCCCTCAAGCTGAGGATGGGTAGGAGGAGGAGGAGGAGGAAGAGGAGGAGGAGGAGGGTTGGGAAGGTACAGATCGAAGAGGCACCTCCTCCTGAGACCCTCTCTGCTCTGAGTGTCCGCCCCTGTCCCCTACCCTCAAATGTGATGGGGGGAATGATGCTGCTGCTGCTGCTGCTGTGGTGGCTGTGAGGCCGCCTTCCTCTCTCCTCATTGGCTGTGGGGTCCCAGGGAATGTGGTTGTGTTGGTGGTGCTGGGCGAGGCTAGGAGGATTGACGATGAGGCTCAACTCTGCATCAGTTGAGTAGTCAAAACAATCTGGGAGTCAACAACACAGACGGGGAAACGTGTTTCTTTAGTGGCAACAAGCCCCAATCGATCCGGGCCTCATCCATCATGGGCACAGCAGGCCTAACAGCTGTCTGTTCAGTCATTCGTAGATTACAAAATATTGAACAAAAAGGAAATGCAATATTTTAAAAATGAACTACCCCGTTAATCGCCCATCTACTGGGTAAAATGGAGTCAGTAGAATCTACAGGCACCATTTTGTCGTGAGTTTTTCTTACAAACCTTAAATCTGACTGGTGATACAAAGCACGGCACACACTTACACAAACAGACAAGACGAGCAAAAAAAAAAGAGCGATAAGGAGCAGCGAGTGGCACAAGAACTGAAACACAGAGACTATATGACCAAAGTTACATACAATAACTGACAGGAAACACCATTTGGATGATGCTAATGGTGTGACTGGTTACACAGAAACGGATTTCCTTCCAGAAAAGTTATTCTCTCACCAAAGAGTTCCTTCTTGTGGCCTTTCACTGATCGAAAAAGAAAGTAACATCTCATAAGTTTAAATCATGTGAAGACGGCCCCTTGTCCAACCTATGCTAGGGTGCTAAGTTAATAACAAGGATGATTTAAAAAAAAAAAAAACAACAAACAGTATTGTAATGGATCTACTGAGATCTCTCCTGTACTGAGGCCTGATTCACTTCTCTGTGTGTTGAAGCCTTGATGGCATGTTTTCCTGTTTCCTGTCTTCCGACTGCAGTCTTACCCTCTCTCTTCCAGCGGTGGCGTCGTATGGAAGCAGTGGTGATGGCTGAGATGGAGATGCGGCTAATTGTGGGTGTCACCTCCACCTGGAGCACCTTGCGCCCCCGCGGCTCATCGGGAGCGCTATCTGGCAGAGAGTTCTTCATAGCGTTCCCCAGCTGGAGATGACACATACACAGATGCAGATCAATAAGCAGTTAAATGATAAAAAAAAAATTATTATAAGCCCGATTTGGCAATCATTGATGCTTTTAAAGCTTGTGGTGATTTCTGTGAATCATGGCATATTAAGAGCATTATTTGAATACAGTGTTTTTTATTTGACTTCAGTTGAACTGTATATGATTTATGCCTTGCACACAGTGCCGTTGGTCTTACCAGGAGAGGCTGGGAGTAAAGCTCCAGCTGGGCTCTGTACAGAATGTCTTCCAGAGCTTCCCGCCCCATCTCCCACTCTCCATTGTATCTACACATCACAACACAAAACACAAACACCAGCATTTAACAGAGTCATGTTGTGAACCTATTTGAGTAAATAGGAGTGTCTGACCTTGGTATGCCTTGATGTCTGAGTCACATCCTCCTGAACTATTATTAGTTATTTAGTAATGCCTGCAGCTACAGCGAGGGAGGGGAGGAGAAATACAGAGTGATTATACCTCACTATCACACTATTGTCTGATTGACCTTTTGATTAACCTTTTTTCTTGAAACTACAAAAAAAGTGAACACATACATTTGGGAATTCTGTGAAGTGAAATCACAAAAATAACAGTTTAAAAATACATTAGAAAAAACTTTGTCACATCCTTCATGTATTCTGGTAATAATGAAACTGTTAACATTATATGCAAATGGGCCTACAATAAGTCATCACCCCCAAAAAAAAAATATTATAAAAAAATAAAAAAAAAGAAAAATAAAAAAAAAAAAAAAAAAAATGACAGTTAACCGATATAGTCAACACATGATAAGAAAAGGTCTGGGTGATATGACCACAAAATAATACACAATAATTTCAAGTACTGATAAAAAGATTTAAAAAGTTAAAATATAATTTTTAACTACTATTGGAGCTCTCTGACAAGTCTGCATTGTAAGATTAAGTCTTAAAAGCTAAAATTATAAAGCATTAGCACTCAACACGCAGCATGCTGCTTCATTAGTGAGTTAGATGTAGAACAAAAGTGAGACAGGGCTGAAGTGAACACTGGGAGACCACTGGTGTAGTGATTTATGGGACTGCTTCCAAAAGCACCTGGAGAAGATGAGCAACCACTGAACACACAAACAGGAGGAATGTAAGTGCTGGTATAGGAAACATTTTTGGGTTAATCACCTGGCCCTTTACTAAAGATGAGGGACTGCCTTTATCTCTGCATAAGGTAATGCCACAACCCCCGTATTCAATCAAGAGGGATTAAAGGAACAGCAGCAATACATAAATACATTAAAAAACAAAGAAGATGAAGAAGAAGAGGTGTACAGCTGAACTCTCTTTGATCCGGTCGCACACATGCAACAACAGCCAGGGACAAATTTGTGGGGTTCCCTTTAGACTTGAGATGAAAAGAATGGATTGAATGGGCAGGTAAAAACAGACCCTCTGATGTTTTGAAGGCTGGAAAATCAGTCCAGAATACATTTGAGACAAAGACAGGCATGTGTCTATTTGCTCTGATATCTCTGTATGTCTCTCCCCCCCTCTCTCTCTCTCTCTCTCTCTCTTCATGTGGTATTACAGTGCTGTAGCATTAGCAGACATATTAACCTAAATCCCAGAGTGCCCTCATGCGAGTGCCAAGGTCTCTCTGCATGCGTGGAGCTGTGTATTCATGTTTATCTGCCCTTCACGTGCGCTCGCTCGGGCCAAGGGTGAATGTGAGTGCTCAGGCTGGTATAGACGTGACCTATGGTAGGGATGACTAACAGTCTGGGTTTTTTCCCAGCGGCACCGACTGCTCCAAACGTCTGACTTGCTGCTGTGCACCCTCGTGGGGTGATGAGGTAGAATGCATACTCGTTCTCTCCTCGCCACACAGCCTCCACAACAGCGGTGATTTTTTCAGTCACTACCATATCAGGGGATCCATCTCTGAGGAGGAGCTATCATCGAGGAGACGTAATCAGCTTTGCAACGACTGTGCTCGTAGGGGATGAAATCACCTGCTCCCACAATGCACTGCCGATGTAATCAGTCTGTACAGTTGGGAGCTTCTGTCCTTGGTGGAGTGTGAGCATATGCCGTTCTGAGATTTTCTGCAGTAGCTCACAGCGAACTAGAAGAGAGACTGCCCTCATTAGCGATGTCCCGCAGAGGCACGACAACAAAAATGAGAAACATTGAGTTATGTGGCTCATAAAAAGAACTCTGTACATGATGATATCAGTTAAGTTGAGGAACAAGCATTAGATTATCTTCCTCCCAATTACCTGATATCTATTACTCAAATTTCCTCAATGATCTTCCAATAAAGAGTGGTGATGTGAAGTAGCCTGGAGGAAAAGCCACTTAAAGCTGCTATTATCAATAATCAGGGTTTGTACTCTTTTTTTTTTTTTTAGGAAGTCCCTTTCCAGGACTTTTCCAGTGAATGTATTTATCAACCACAACAACAAATCTAAATTTGATCATTAATAGGCTGTCAGATGTAAATATGACTGACAGTATGCTCACAGATCCGGAAAAAAAATAGACTCAACACTGAAAAGATCGCTGAAAGTCCATTCTGCTTTCTGCATATGATCTGAGTGAGCGGCTAAAATACAACTGAGAATGAGAACAGGCTGTGAAGTGTGTAGGAGAAACTACGGTGGCTGTGAAACTCGCAAAAGTCCTTATCTACAGCCAGTGTTTGGTTTGTCCATTCTGTGCTACTGTAGAAACATGGCAGTTCAACCTGGTGTTGACTTTATAGAAAGCGACCAACAGCGCTTGTAGATAGAAACGGCTCATTCTAAGGTAATAAAAACACAATACTTCCTATATTCAGGTGATTATACACTAATGAAAACATACCTGTGAATATTATATGCCAACAGATCCTTCTAAATGTTACTCACTGGACCTTTAATCAATTGGAAAACAAGTCTCTAAATTTCCAGATTTTGTAGGACACATATGAACCCTGTTTTATAACAATGTATAAAATTACAATGCGTTACAGTCAAATCATCACCAGAATCTGCAGCTCCACTCAGCTTTATAGAGAGTTTCAGCACATTGTTTAGCAACGTTACTGCTTTGGTTCATTCTAATAGCTTTATTTTTGGCCGCAGCAGGCAGCTGTTTTCTGAGTAAAAGCTCTAAAAACCCCCTGTACACTACCTGCTCAGCTTTAAAAAAAAAAAAAACAGGCAGACACAGTTAGCAAATAGCTGGTGAACACAGTGTAGCATTTAGCAGCTAAAGAGACAGATATTTCCCTGATAAAGATTGATAGAGATAAAACCCAGAGTGTGAATATTGGACTTATATTTGCCAGGTGGCCACAAACTGCTTTAAAGATACATACATGGCGTGATAAACAGCAGTCAGCATCTGCACCATGAACTCGGGATCCAGCAGCACACGGTTGCAAGGTTCCCTCCAAAGCTTCTGCTGCTGCCGGGGGAAGCCACATACGCACAACCTGAGGAGGGAAAACACGCATACACAGTCCCATAAGTAAGGTGACTTAAGTCATACTGCATCATGCAACAACAAAGAGAGGTAGTTTAGGAAGGAACACCAAGATTTTTAAATGAGAAGTTTCCTCTAACTGCTGCAGGAAGTAGCATAGATCAGATGAGAACAACTATAAGGGAACTTCAGTCGCTTACTAAGTAAACTACTCAAAGAGGAAACACATCAAACGGTGAGCAAAGAGAGAAGAAACTTTAATGATTTTACACCTGTAGGGGTCAGGCAAGGTTAGAGGACGGGTTGTTTGGGGTCTACACAGTGAGCATCGCCCTCGGGTTCTGGAATCTTCACAGTCACAGTTTACCGTCTGTCTAGACTGAGTTTGCTTCGGGCGTTGGTCTGTCTGCTCACTCACAGTAGGGAAGTCTTAATATCCTGAATCGTCTGCACACTGTGGTGGAACAATCACTGGGCGGCGGCTCCACTACAGAGCTTCATACTGTGAATTCCACATTGATCCTTTGTCCTAACTCCGGGGCATCTAAGTGTTTCCAAGACAGACGGACTCAGAAAGGTAATCATCAGTGATGCTTTCATTTGGCCAATCATTGACAACTGAGCCCTAATGAAATTGTACTTATCAAATCCTCCTGCAACGAGGACAGTCAGTATCGGGGTCAGCGTATGGCTACAGGGCAGAAGAGGTGATTTAATGCAAGAAATGGAGGTAGAAGAGGAAAGGGGAGATCACTAATTGGACACAGACAGGACAGAACTGACAACACACATGCTTTACACATGTTTTCCTCACCGTGAGCTCATCCTGCAGACTGACTGATAGGACGACAGGGGCATGTAGACCACAGCAGAGTTGTAGCAGAGCATGAGGAAACACAGCACTTCAAACCTGCAACCACAAAACAGTCAAGTACTGTAATACAGACTCTTATTAAGGCCCTATTAACTCAGTCAATACACCAAGAATGATACAATATAAAAACTCTTAATAAATATCAGTTTTAATCTGATTTCAGCTAAATCCCACTTTGTCTATTTTTCTGTGACACTTTCACTGTAGACAATTATGCCGATTTGCTCAAGCAATTTATTAACACTGAAATGTAGTGCAACAATGTGCCTTTTTTTAAATCCATGAGAGGCAATTTCTGTTTGAATGTGATGTGAATTACTGGCCCATATCTAATTTTCACTTAACACAGCAGTGTAACAGTCAACAGATTGTATAGAGTCATCAATAATCCACTTGCAGCAGAAAAACTGAACTGAAACAAGAACAAATGTTTAAAAGGCAAAAGAACATATTACATTTGAGTTGAAGTGATTTGTAATCATCTCTTTGACAGATTGCAGAGGCTTGAGAACAGTGAATTTTATTTTAATGTTCCATTTGCACATTACAGTTACAGTCTGATGAAAGGATAAACAGCGGTATTTAAATGAAAGAAGAACTATCCTTTTGAAATGATTTTTTTTAGATATCAGTAAAAATCTCAATATTGTGCATCCCTATTTGCTGCATTTGTGTTTTGGAGTGTGTGTTGATGGAAGACAACCAGGAGGAGGACCTCGGGTGTAAAGGCCATAATTGACTCTGTGCGCAGGGGGAGGTAAATGGCCTTGCTGTATATCATCAGTCAGAGTGAGCTGGCACCTCTCAGGAGCTTTGGGCTTTCTTCTCATAAACACTATCTCAGGCCCGGCCACGCAAATGGATTTCCAGATAAGCTACGAGGCCTGGCCCTGCTGAAATCCATTGAGTGTATTTATGACGCTGTGTTCATCATAGCCCACGCTACTCGGGACACAACACGCAGGTTGACCAGTGTTATCTCTGCATGCCCTTACATTATCAGTTCTGATACCTCAGATGTGTGTCCATCTCTGTGCATGTGTCACTGCAGACAAACACACGCACAAAGCGCAACTCTGCTCATTTCAGTGCGGCTAGGGACCATTTTCTGGCAGGATTCCAGCACGCTTCATTACTATGCTAAAATTATCATTCATCCACAGCAGCAGAGAAAATGTGAGAGCCAAAAAAGCTTTCAGGCCTGCTGAGTCTGTCCAGAGGAGGCTGAATGAGAGACAAGGGGTTACGCTCTGATCATCTTAAAAGGTCTTTTTCATCTTATGGTGAAAGGCGAGACGGGAGGTAGAAGAAATTGTTTTGTCGTAAAAAAAAAGAAGAAGAAAGAAAAGAAAAGATAAATAAATAAGAGAGCATGACATCCATAGGGTGATGCCACCTGTGTTTACTGAAGTTGAACGGCCTCCAGCGCTGCCATTTCACTGAGCGACAAAAATGTTTCACCCCTCTGATAACTCATTCAGTACGCTAGACCCTTAGCACAATGTCTCTAAACTGCTGCAATTGAATCTCTTTTGTGATTGCCGCGTCTCGAATTATTCCCTCTTTGTCGACAGCTGGTGGAGTCAAGGCTGTACCTGTTCTGAGCTGTGAAGGTCTCTCTCTGAGGATGGAGGCCACTGTACACCACTCTGATCAGGTCATGCTGACAAAGAGCCCCCTCTGTCAATGCCATGGATCCCAGGCTAGAAGGCTGCACACACAAAAGAAAAACGGTCAATTAAACACCCACCCCATGTTGGCTTTTGCTACATGCGAGTAAACTGGCAGTGAGGATATTACCAACAAGCTGCAATGCCCTTCAAATTGTTGATTGACAAACTGAGGCATTTGCTGTGCTCTGATGGAAAACTGCTGTGATTAGTGTTCATATTTTATTAGAGCGGAATGATATTTCAACTGGACCTCTGCCAAACTCTCAGTTAACTGTAAGTCAAGGTGTTATTTCACACATTAAATGACATACCTTTAATGAGAAAATGATAAACCGATCGTGAAACGAGATTTGTCAAGATCTCAGGGGCTTACTTCCTCTGCTAAAGAATTTCCTGGGGAAACCTGCAGACATCCCAACAACTGTATGTAAGCGACCCACTCACTGTAAGAAAGGTCTGTATGTCTCTCTGAAGGACAGTCAATCCAGAACAGACATTTTCTTAACAACAAGCAAATTAATCTTACATCTCTTTATTTCATGAGTAAAATAGACATAGATTAAGTGGCACAGGTGATGACTAGAAAAGAGAACCAATGACTGAGTGGAATTAAAATATATGTAAGTGAGAATATATCACAAGGCCACTTCATCATGATGGTGTGCAGAGCAAAAGTCACCCCTAAATTGAATTGATATTCTGTCCTAAGTATCTTAGGCGATTCTGAGTAGAAGCAGAGGAGAGGACAGATTAATTCAAAAAGAGAGACTGGAGTGTATGCTAATGCTGGAGGCCTGGGGATAAGGCCATGTGATGTGCAGAGCAGTACTATAGCCTACGAAGCTTGTTGTGATTCACGCACACATTCACACACTCACACACACAACCCCCCTCCACCCCGCCTCCATGCTTTCTTCATTCGCACAGCATGAAGGAAAGAGCCTCTCAAGCTTGTAATTACAGCGATAAATCGCCCTCAGCACACGCCACACACTGTAGTCTCATCAACATTCACTGACACACACACTAGCACTCACTGAGGGCCATCATATTGTATGAAAATATACGGCACTTGCTTTCGCTCTGCTTTTGGTAGCAGATATAAAGTCTAAAAGAACTGGCCAGCAGCATTTTTTTATGCCCTCCTTAAATGGTCCTGGGTCAGCATGTCCTGTTAAACACCTTTCTAATGAATTCCAGCTCAACACAATAGTCAATACTGTGCTGTTTTAGCAGGTCAGACGTTGAGGGGTTGCACAAACACAACAAGACAGAGAGAATGAGTAAAGTAGTAAGTAAAAGGATTGAAAACCAAAGTTAAGTTATCTCTTTTAAAAAGAACAAAACACCAACAGACAGGTGCAAATTGTCTTCCTCTCACCCAAACTTTTCAAATGTTATAAAATTTTGACTTGTAGAAAACACAGAATAAGAGAGGTGGCTATTGCAGAGAGGGAATTAAGGTGTTAGTATGCTCAAAACAAAATGGCAACACTTGCAGGCACAGTGAAAAGCCGACCTTCATAGAGAAGGGCGCAATACATCAGAAAATCTTTCCTCGTTCATAGTGAAGCTTTTGACATAGTGACAGAAGTAACTGTGTGAAAAGCCCCCAGTTCTGACTTCAGAAGCATGCGGCGACCCTAACACATATAGATTGATAAGCCCTGGAGGTGACATAAATGAAAATGGACACTGAGGAGGTGTCATCTTCCAAATAGCCACTTAAATAACTAAGAGGCAAAGACAAAGAGGAGGAGACAGAAGCAGTAAAAGAGATTAAAAAAAAAATAGGGGAAAGGTAGCATACAATGAGAATGAGAAACACTGATTAACAGAACAGACAGGAGCCCCACCTCATGATATATTGATGGTTTGGACAGAGAGGGGATTGTGAAGGAGAGGAGCTTGCTGTTGCCGTCTTTGTCCACGATCTCCTGCAAAACCAAAGAAGAGACAGAAAAAGCTATGTCATTAAACTGATTAGAAATCATACTTTTACCTGCAGAACTTAACCCAGTTGAGCCTTTTCTCTGCTGACTGGGGGAAAGCATTTAGCAGTGTACGGTTAACAACTGTCCCTCACGCTGTTGAGCTGGTGTAAGACCATTCTACTGGTACATGTTATTGACTCTGACAGATTAAATGTCGCTGCCAGCAACCTCACCACTCAATTCCAATTTCACACTGTGATACATAACACAAAGATTAATGCGTCCCTGAAAATGATGCCATCTTTAAAAGTAATGCCTGATTATCTGCACTAGTCAGAATCGCAGTCGAAATGATAATGAAGTACTCGCACACAGACGGAGAGCTGAGCATTTCTTCATTTGGCAGAAAGCACTTGTTATTCTTACTTTACTCTATAAACCAATTATGTGCAGCTGAGGAGGATTCAAGTGGTGTGTAAGAGTTATCAAAGCAATTGTTTTTACTACATGTGAGCATAGCAGGCATTGTTAATTGATTGGGAGATGTGTTTTCATCGAGTGCATAGCATTCCTCTGTGTTCCTCGGTATACTTTATGGCTGATGTGGAAGAACTTTTTTCAAATCATATAATATAGACGAATGTGCTTTGCAATTGATTGTTCCCCCACATGTGCAGATCAAAGTGGTCAGATTTTCTGGTTGTGTGGAGCCACTGCAAGTCAACCAATGCAAAACCAAACAAACAATCATCCAAGCATCTATAATCTAAATTTTGGAATGTGGTACCAAAAGGGCTTTTATCCCTTTTATCTCTCGTTCTGCCCGAGTGTACTGTGGGTTCAGGCCTCGTCCTGCCCTTTACTGGCTAGCAGTATATCTCTGAATATCTGATGGGACTGCTGAGAGCAAAGCTGTTAATCAGAGCTCAGTCGTCAGGGACCATAGGCGTGAGGTCTATGAGCATGTACAGTACGTGTGCTGGTGTATGTAGTGGTATAGCAAGAGGATTAAATTATGCATGGCTATACCTTCAGCCGTGCAGGGCTGACATGGAGCTCTTTCTATTGATGTCTCTAGCTCTTAGTCCATTTCCCCAAGGGTGTTTCCTGGTGATGCAATCTATCCAGGGTCTATCCATTAACTGGGGTTTTCCCTGCAGATCTTTAATGTCAACAGACTTACAGCCTCACTAACGTACCATCTGTATTATACCTAAAAGATAACCAATTATTTGCATATCAACGTCTTTACACATTAACAGTTTGAAACAAAGAGCCATTCATAGCGATCGTCACACTGTTTTTATCTACCTATATTCATCCATGTTGACCAGTAACACGTTTAAGTATGATACTGAGGCTATGAATCACTTATAAGTAGAATGAACTGTAGAGAGAGTTAAGAGTTGGAGACAAAACAAGGCCTTTCTTTGTCAACTACAGCGCCAATTATCACATTATGGGTTTGAAGAGTTAAGTTCAACTGCAAGAATTTCCCATCCCTGCTGGCCATTTATGACCATGATGATGGTGATGATGATAACAATGTCAGGGTCAGTGACAGGGCAACATCCCTCAAGCTGTAGGGATTCTCTAAAAGATACTTCGCCTAGTTGATGTTTGCAGCCACTGTTTCTTGAGTCACCCTGGCACACATTTGCACTCTAATCCTTTCCTCTGTTTTACGTCACAGCTTCTCTTCTGCAGCCACTTTGGGGTAGCTATTTTGCATCTCTCTAAGGAACGATACTGAAGATGCAAAATGGCACACAAATTATATATATATATATATATATATTCACAGCTAGAATGTTTTTTGACCCAAATGTCTATCGTGTATAAGGTTTGCCTTTACCCCTTCACAACCCGCTATACCCACGAGGACCAACACCTACCAGGTTATAGATGCCCAGGAGGAGGGCCTCGATGCACCCATTGCTCTGGCGATCCCTGCTGGCCGTGACGCGCAGATATACCCACACCAGCTCAGGCAAGAACTGCAGGGTGAAGCGGCGCAGACGGTCTTCAGAGCTCCGGTACAGCTCGAACAGTTGGTGGCACACAGGCTCCAGTAACTGTAATGGAGAGTGGGGGCATTAATAAATGCTAATAAGTACAAGTCTGAGACCCCAGTGGAAATATGACAATATGACTGACAGGCTTATAATGAAAACTGGATATGGAAAAAAGAAAAAGGCATCTCTGCCATTATTAGACTGACAGTCCAGAAAAATAATTACCACCTTCTTCAAGCTGTGATTATCATTATTTTTGAACAAGTAAAAACATCAATATAATGATATAATGTCATAAAGAAATTTGTAAGGTCATGTTAAATGAAATGGTCTGCCTTATTTCAAATTCATCAGATTAACATGGTCTGTGGTGATAGAAGTATAGGATGAGGTGGAGGTGGAGGAGGAGGAGGTATGACTCTCCATCTCAGCAACATGAATGAATGTCATCCTGACTATAACACGGAGGGACAGACACATGGAGGGAAAGTTCTCTGGCCGGTCAATAGTGGGAGGTGTGTAAGAGCAGATGGGGTAAATCATTACAATGGAAGTCTGGTCAGATGTAGTCTCAAGGGGGCCAGCTGAGCCAATGTGTTTATACTGTCCAGGGGTCAGTGAAGTGAGTGCCCACACAGCATTACTGTGTAAGTATGCATGTGTGTGGTGGTCTGTGGCTGACCCTGAAATAAGAAGCAACTCCTTAATGAACTTGGCAAGGCATTTGGCCCTTCATGTCATCAGCCACACACACACACAGACACAGACACAGACACAGACACAGACACAGACACAGACACAGACACAGACACACACACACACACACACACACACACACACACACACACACACACACACACACACACACACACACACACACACACACACACACACTCTCTCTGTCGCTCTCCTGGATCGCTTGTCCGATCATTAATGAGACTGTGCCGCCAAATTGACAACACTAATGGAATTTAGATCCATCCGTGGTTGCTTGACACCCGAGTTTGACCATCAAAGAGTTGGGGGAGGGGGAAGAGAATTAGAGGCACTGGCTGTATAATTAGAGTAAAATTAAAGTCCCGTGTCATTGAGTGCCTCAGGCCTTTGCTCAGAAATTGTGTCATTAGGTCCTTTAAAGAGAAAATGCTGGTTTCAGACGTGCTGATACAGGAAACACCTGTGCATTAAAAACAGTGAGGTGCTGCAGCACACCTAACAATAAACCTAGTCTAAGTATATACAGCATCTGCATTTGCATCTTTGAATATGCATGTAGCTTTTCCAGTGTGGGCAGCAGATGTTCCAGAGAGTTGTGTTGTGTGTGTGTGTGTGTGTGTGTGTGTGTGTGTACAGGGATCACTGTGTGCCATCTCACAGGTAGTGTGGCTGGCACTGCCACTGTGCCCGTCCATCTCACACTCTCACAATACAGAGTACAGTGTGCTTATGTTTTAGTGTTTAGTGTTTAGTGTTTAGTGTGTGTAGCCTGCAGACACAGTTGTGCGTCAGTTTCTTGCTCACTGTCAACTGAGACTACTTCATGTGACCCACAAACAACACATTTCCCTGAGCTAAAAACAGCCCTTATTGGGACTCTGTATGTCTGCGTGTCCTCTGTATATAACCTCATTGTTGGGGTCTTGGATGACTCTGTAGAGTGCTGGCACCAGGGACTTCTTTAGATGAAGGCTGCCGGCGTAGCTGGGGATGTGGGTTTCTGGTAAGGACTGGAAAGAGGAAAAGATTGTTAAGTAATTGAGCACAATTTTCACATTTCTTCACAAGAATGGAGGTATGACACATAATGCTATGCATCATTTTCCCTTCCAAATAGTCAGCAGTAATATATGCATTGGAAAAAGCATTTTCAAAACAAAAAAAAACAAACTTTTAGAAGTACAAAAAGCTACTAGGGTTTTATGTCAGTAGACAACAATGTCATGACCTTTTACTATGCGTGTGGACGACACTTCTCAGGACTGTGTGGGCGTGTACAAACTGACATCTCTCTGATAACTTTGTTCCTGTTATTGCACCTGTTATACACCGTTATGATTACCTGTGTCTGAAATCACTTCACACATTCACCTCTCCCTGTATAAGAAACACTGGATTTACATTCAGTAAGCCGTAAATTGAGATTTACTTACCTATTAATCATCATCATTGTGCGTCAACGCTGACGGGTGAAGGGCCCCATGAATGTAATAGTGCACTATATATTAAACAGGAAGTGATTTCAGACACTGGCAACCCAGTTTCAACCTGACAAAAGGTCTAAACAGCCAGAGTGATTGAAAGAAAACTCCTGAGCAGGTGTGCAATCAACAATAATTTGGAAAGAAATCCAACATACAAGAGGCAGACACACCTATTTTCCACCAGTAGCTTCTCAAATCGACAATTTTTCTGGTCTAGTGGACGTTTATTAGAAACCTCAAGCTGTGTTGTTACTATCGCTACATCCACCTAGATGTATGACCCACACCTGAATGGCTTAAATTCACATCCATATGCATTTTTCACAGCAGGAAAATCACAGGTGATACTTCCTGCGAAGATTCATGATGGCTCTGTTCTATTCAAGTGCCCCAGTAAGACATGACAGGGAGCCAGCATGCATAAAACCAGGACCCAGGTAAAGGGAATTCAGTCATCATTATTTGTAATATTCACATCTTTGCTTTTCCTACTGTGACATCAAACTGTCCTGATGAAAAAGGCACATTAATGAGGCACGTGAAAGTGGATACACTCATGAAAAGGATCCACTACGTAACTCTGAACATCACAGGGTGATGATATCTGACAGGCTCAGAATATCCTGAGGTGGAATTCTTTAAATGGTCAAAACTGTGTGTTTGCTGCAGATGACAGAAGGCAGAGATATCCTCTCAGCACAGACTAAGTATGGTCATTTTCAGGACAGAACACAATGTGCCTGGTCTGCACAACTCACCCAATGAGTCATACCAATCTATTTCCCTCACTAGTTCATCAGACTCCCTCTTTTCTCTCTTTCACAATTTCTTGCTATCCTCTGCCATCCCTCTTAATGCACTACCCACTAATTCCTTATTTTTGGCTCGTCTTCTCTTTGCAGTCCCGAGATCTCACACAGATCATTTTAAATACTTAATGTACAGTGGTCATTTTAGGACATCTCTGACTCAACAGGACAAGATTAGCTTTCGCTAGTCTGACTTGTATGTTGTCATGATTAACCTGATGTCCACTGGATACAGCTGCGTCCTATCACCATGTTTCAGAAACAGAGCTTCTCCAGCTCCAGCTTTTCGTTTTAAAAACATCCATAATATTGCATTTGCAGCTGATTTATGATTGGTAAGGTAACAGATACTTTGCTGCTATACTTTAGTCGCTTTATTTCATGTATGCAGCACGCTGCCTCGAAGGAAAACAACAGCATTCCTTCTCCTATTTCACAGTAAACGTGACACGAGCAAACAAACAAGAAAACAAATAGTTACGTGACTTAAGACAAAGTCAATAAGCAATGAAACATGTCATAACATTTTAACTTCTGTGTCAGTTTACAAGTAATATCAGCATTTATATACATTCACAAGGGAATGTGCTTCAGAGACACAAGGTAGTCCATCAAAAATATGCCCAGTGAGCAGATTGTGTTCTTAAATTACACCTGGGAGTCACCTTAAATAAGCTATTCTTTTTAGACGAACTGTAAATATTTGCACATCCTATAGTTTTAAGAACAAAACTGAGCACAAGTTATATATTAACTGCTGCAGCAATCATTCTTTAAACGTGACTGTTTCACATGTCTTTAGACAAAGCTCAGCTCACTCACTGAAGGCTTTGAGTTATGAAAATGTGCATCCCAATCAAAGGAACATATCAGTAGACTGGTAATGCTTATATCTACATGCTGCCACTAATTGCAGTAAGATGAAAGTACAGCTGAGCTTGACTGTGGCAGACCTTTAATCTATACTAGAATTAACAAACTATCTTAAACAACAGCAGGAAAACTTATATTTTCACCATGTTTGAGTTTTAGGCATGGGTAAGTGACACTGACTCTATTTACTGCTTTTGAGTCACTTTAATCAGATTTTGGCACTTAGAGAACGTTACACAGCAGTTATAGCAAGACTGTTTAAGCAAGTTCACAGAGTAGAGAAAATAACTGATTATAGCGATCTGAATGACTACGTGTTTGTGTAAAGCCTGTTCATACTTTACATGCATGCAAGCACAAACAAGTTTCAGTGAAAGTATGATAATACTGATGAATGTAAGACACATCAGACAGATTAAATCAACTTGTCTGTTCTGTGAGATGGAAGAGCAAGAAAATGCTTCAGGTACAGTTTATGTGTTGAGCTTAAACCGGACAAAGTACAAAACACAGTGGTAAAAGCAGAGCTGAGTGTATTAATTTTCCTTAAATGGCCACAGTTTGCTTGAATCTATAAAATTTTATAAGCATTTAAAAAGAACTCAAATGTTGAAGAAGTGACATGCACAAACTTGCACACTCAACACTCTTTCATCACAGTTGTTACACCCACAGCATGTGCCTGTGTGTGAGCATGTGTGTTTCCTACTGGAAAATATGCCTCCAAAGATGACCTCCAGGAGTACATTTCATTGCCATTAGTCATGATGGAGAACAGAGGAGGGCCTTTACCTTGAATTCTGAGAGCCATTCTTCGACAACACCGCGCTCTGAACCCAGCATCTTCTCCAGAGACCCCCCCTCGGCTGCCTAGTGGACAGAGAAACACAGAGAGCAGAGGGAGGGGGGAGATGGAGGGGAGGGGGCAGAGTTGAGGAAAAGCAAAGCAAACAGTTAGTCAGAGGAAGAGAACGAGTAGAAAACGAGAGAACAGTGAGTTCTTTTTCTTTTTTGTTTTTTTTTGTTTTTTGTTTATGTATTTCTGTGGGCTTTTTGCCTTTATTGGATAGGACAGCTGAAGATAGACTGGAAAGGGGGAGAGAGAGGGGATGAAATGGAGCAAAGGGCCAATGGTCAGATTTGAACCTATGGCCACTGCAGCAAGGACTCAGCCATGGTACAAGGGGTGCAAACTCTACCAGGTGAGCTACGGGGCACCCTGGTGAATACTTATTCAAACCATGTGTGTTAACAATGACATGATGAAGGGAAACACCAGTGTCTTATACTTCACATTACTGCCAACCACTGTCATCAGAATACATTTAAAAAATGGTTTTAATGCATTCTCTGTGCTAAATTGGGAGCCATTTTTGAAAATAAAGGAAACTAAATGTTTATTTTCACTGAGATGGATCTTTCCTGCATGTAGTAATAGTAATTAGAAAGTGGTCAATGGTAATGTTCATTGTACATACATTTTAGCAAAACACCAGCACGGTCCTTTAATGCCTCCGAGGGTGAAAGCTATGATGCTGGCCATGCTATTACACAAGGAGCCTCACCTCAGTGACCTCACCTGTCACCATGGATAAGAGATGACATGAACATGAACCACAATAGACAACCATATGGGCTTTCCGTAGACAATGCAAATCTTATGCGGCCAAGCTCAAGTCTTTTCTGGTGCAAAACCTCACAGGGCAGCTAAACACTCATCTAACGTGATGTGATGATGTTAAAAACTTCCAAAACCCCAGCAACCTAATTATATATTAATCCAAAAATCAACTCATGACAGAAAGCTCAACATCGGAATTTCCTACATGTTAATGAACGTTTTATTCACAATACATTAAGAGAGATGAGATTTGAGATAACAAAAGACAGTTAGTCTCTCACTTCTTCAAATATAATCTGATCTTGGGCTAAAGTCACACTGTTATCCCTGGTCGCTCTCTCTGTATCCAGAAGCTAAAATTAACTTCAGCAAACTGCCCAAAATAAAAAGCCATTTCTCCTTCAGACATCATACCATGGAAAATATTAATCATCTCATAAAAAGGCTAGCTATGAAGGAGGCGTGTGTGCGTGAGTCGAGTGGATGGACTGCATGGTAAATGGACAGCATCTATGTAGCACTGTTCTACCTTAACAGACAAAGTGCTTTACAATTTTGGATCTAATTTCTGCCATTCTAACACACACATACATAGAGAGCGGCCATGCAAAGCACTGGCCTGCCCGTTAGGCGCACCTTGGGGTTCAGTGTTTCAGTGCTTAAGAACACTTCGACACATGGACAGGAGACAGGAGGGCGTCGAAACCACCAACCATGCGGTTAATGGACGACCCGCTCTACTTCCTGGGCCACAGCCGCCAAGTGAGAGGTTGAACAGCCACACACAGCAGTGACAGTCTGAATACAGACTGTAGGGGATGTTGCCGGACTGACACACTGTACCAAAATACCAAAATGACAATAATGCTCAACTAATTTTAGAGTTATAGCTTACCAGAAATATCAAAATTCGTTTGACAGCCTCTACTTCAGACTGTCATTATTGAGCCATTATTTTTGGCCTTTAAGAGAGCCAACGACACACAATGTAAGCTCAAAAACAACCTGCTTTTTTGCAATAAAACTGCAGCAACAGCAATTACACACAGCTGGTAAAATATTACAGCTCTAAATCCTTTTCAGACTTTTCCTGACTCTAACCTCAATAACAAAAACCAAAATGTGCTGACAGAGTCACACTGCAGCCTTTCTGACAACAGAAGCCTACAGTTTATTACTGTTTGTGTCATTGTCATTGACCTTGCCATTTAAAGGCTGCCGTAAAAACCCTGTTAAAGACCGTTTTTAGACACAAGTTTGATTTCTTGCTTCTGTCACTTACGTTCAGCTGTGACGGCCCAAGAGCTTTTGCCCTTAGAAAAAGACTGTGTGGCTCAAAAACTTGTTGTGGTTTTGAGTTGATGGGATTAGGGATTAGGACTAACTCAATATATTCTCATTTCAAAGTGGGAAGATCCCACTTAACATTTCAGGCGACAGCCTCTGCAGCCTGATAGTAAGGTGTTATTCTGCAGTCAGCACATCGACTTTGTTATCTGCACACAATTCCTTCAGTCTTTGCCTTTTAATAAATTCTGCGGATGTGTTGGCGGCGTTCAATCGACAATATTAACTAAAATATAGACATGTAACAATATATCATGAATCAGTTAAGATATGATACACATATGTATAATATAAATCAGGTTAACTTTTACAAAGAGAAGGAAATATGCATTGTTTCGCACATTTAATAGCCTAACTCAGAATAAAAAAGGATATTTTTCAGTCATAATTTGTCTTCTATCTTGTTAAAATGAAAATCATACTGTGAATTGTATCAAATAGAAAGTAGCATCTCTACAAGAATATATGTATGATTATGGGTTATGTTATTTGTAGTTATTGCACAGATGCCACAGTCTGGATAAAAGATAACTAGACACTCAATACAATGAGCTATGTCATCAGATGTTATATGCCTTCACACTGCAACTATAAACAGAGATCACATTTATGTCACAACCTAAGATCTGACCAGTTCACTTCTCTCCCTGCCCTGCACTCCCCCTTTGGCACAAAAATTTGCTCCCACAGCAAGCAACATGTGACAGAAGAGTGTTGTAAATAAACCCATTGCAGCTGTATCTGGGTCAGTGTCCTTGGTTAACTTTCTGACACGTGCAAGTTAACAGAACTGAATAAACTCAGGCCACAGGGATTATGCAGACAGCTCAGATAGTTAAGAGTTAGGACGTATGAAACTGTTTAGATTCAAGAGTAAAAAGCTGCGTAGGCACAAAATTGTGCATATGCATACAGAGAATTTGCCAGATTTAGCAACCCTTGCTTATAAGATGTTCACACAGTGTCCCTTTTTGTAAGTCCCAAACAATGTAAAACTGTGTGGATGTGCACAGTCTTAATGCTCACTCCTACAGTAAGCCATAAGGTTGACACACCCTTGGTTAATCTCATTTGGTACACCCAAATCATTACAGGCACAGAAATTTGCACAAGCTCTAATGCCTCTCTGGATTTCTTTATCGTTCACACAGTTTTTATATTCCAAAGACAAGAAATGTAAACTTTCTTACTATTGCTATAAAAGTAAAACAAGTTATCTGACTTCTGTTTTTTAAATTGGTTTGATATAGTGTAACTTCTCACCCTACTTTCTATACAAATCTATATTTTCACCTAAGTTGAAAAGGTCCAGTGTGTATCATTTAGAAGCATCTACTAGTATAAATGGAATATGATATCCATAGGTATGTTCTCATTAGTGTATAACCACTTAATATAGAAACTGTTTTGTGTTCATTACCTTAGAATGACCTGTTTTTATCTACAGAGCGAGTGGGTCCTCTTTCATGGAGTCCACCATGTTGAACCGCCATGTTTCTTACAGTAGCCCAGAAACAAACAAACCAAACACTGGCTCTAGATAATGCAGTTTTATGGCCACCATAGTTTCTTCTACAGGGTTGGAAGGCTGAGCTGTATTCAAATGGCTGCAATCTGCAAATTCACTGCTAGATGCCACTAAATCCTACATACAGGACCTTAAACAGCCTTAGAGTTTTACTTACTTTAATGCTTAATTGACAGCTTGATGGGCCCTTAAATCAAGGTAAGACTGACTGTAAATTCAACATGTCAGCTTGATTCAGAGGGAAAGATTTTGGACTACCTACTGTAAAAGTTTAAAGGGAATATAGTATTTCACAGCAGTATAAAGGTTACCGTCTTATACAAATCCCTGAATAGTGCAGATGAGCCTGAAAATGTTACAAAACAGGCTTAGAGGAGCAAGATATCTGGTTTGCTGTGGGGCGGACGGAGACGGAGCTCATGTTCGCTGCTCAGAGCAGATGACGATCTGAACGAGTCAAATCTTTTTGTGTGAGCGCACTCCTTACATCTGAGTGTGTGTGAATTGAAAAAGCTCCACTTAGTAAGCTTGTTCAGCTCTTCATAAAAGGCTGACTCATTCATTTACTCCAGCTTGTCAAACTGTCAAAGATTCAGTGAAGTGCAATTCTCCATCGGCAGGGCAGGCTTATCAGTTACCATGGGAACTGTAGTCGAGTGACTTTCAGGCAATGGCAAATATTCACCGAAAAGAATTGTCCGTTTTGTAAAAACAACTTCAATCGTATTTCCCTTTACAATGTATGCAAAACAAGTGGTAGGTAAGGGATGAACTGACCACAATTAAAATGTAAGATGTGAAACATGAAAAGATGTCAAAATATGTTGTTGTTGTTGTTGTTATGCTCCATATGTCAGTCATAACGCTTAGACTGAGAGCTGATTTTTGATTTAATTGCAAAAAGAAGACACATAAAAGTGAAAAACATAAAACCAGAAGAAAAACAACACGTTGCTTAACCTTGATAAGAAAAAAAATCTGCAACATCAAGGAACAAATGATGATCAATCAGATCATCAGGGGAAGAATTTTTAACAGCTGAAATAACGTGTGCATATAAAGAGGAATAAGTCTGCATCATTAATGTTTGCAGGTAAAATAATCTGCCATCGGTGGTGTTTGCCTCAATAGTTTTATTAGTGATAGTAGTGATAGTCTTTGACATGTAAAACTGTCCAATACTGATTAAAATCTGTATTAAACTGGACAAACAGTATTATTATAACTTTCCTGGAGAATCAGTGTTGCTGAAAACAGGTTAAATAAGGAAAGGGATGACAGAAGGTAGGAAGAATATATGCATAGCACTGTAAATATGAAACTGATGGTTTCAAAAGAATCCTAATTCAGGTGATCATGAATATCAATAAAATACTAAATATGAGGCAGTTTGAGAGGCAAACTCTTGTGCTTACCTCAGTGTCCGAGAACTCAGACCTCCACTGGGAGAGGCAAATGTTTCCCCACAGTGTCACACATCTGTCAATCACTGAGGGTCACCTGCAACAACAAGAAAGAAAAAGATCAATCAGATTAGATCATCACAGGAAGAACTTTTGGTCGGACAACACAAAGCATTTGATGACATCTTCTAGGGCTCTAGGGAATTGTGATGGCCATTGTTGACGGTTTTCTAGAAACAATTAATCAAGAAGATCATCAGCAGATTAACAGACAATGAAAAGAATCATTAGTAGCATCTCAAATATTCTGTATCATTTAGTGAGTTCCCACTAAATGTGTTTCTTTCCAGACTGGATTAAAAAGATAGAAGATGACTTTGAAAGGAATTACAAATAAACTTTTAACAGTGTCTCAAAGAACGGCTTTGAATTGCTGAATCTTATTATGTTGCAAAGGAAAATTCTGTTGACAACATACCTGACAAATAATCAGTCAAGACAGTGTACAAAGTAGTTGACAACATGGAGACACGTAAACCAACAGATGGTTACTACAACAGAACTGTCTCCTCTAAAAGATGCACACTTTTAACATTTAAGGTAGAGAAGCCTTCCTACATGCATTCAGTACAAACCAATGATATGCATTTTTGTTTCATAATAAATACTATACATTTGCTCAAGAAACACTACATTTTGAAGGTTATTTTGAGGCATGGCAAGTTTCCTATTGTTGCATAGCAACAGTCAGCTGGCCAACTTGTTGTCCTCGCCTGCTAAAATTGCATCTTGAGGATCCACACCCATAGTATTTACTGTATTTGGCAGAATGAATCGAGGCTTCAGTGACACACAAGAAGACGCCGTGGAGAGCCCGCTCTGCACTGCTGCATGTCCCTGAGAAGCAGACAGTGCCACATCACTGAGCACTTCATCTCATGTCAAGCATTTCCAGCACAGGCTTGTGTTTATCTGAAGGACTCTTAAATTAGCAATTTATCACAAAGAGTCAAGAAAATTACCATGCACAAGTCTCATCTGTCTAGAATGATGTGTATAGCCTCTCTATCTATTGAAGGCTGTAAAGGAGGCATTTATTTTCCTTTGCCAGATAAAGCGTACTCGTTCTGTATGACTCATCAAAGCCCAGGGTAACAGTGGCTCCAGGCTGTGAGCGAATACAGCAAAAGGGTGGGACAAGGAATGAATAATACGACACAAACACAAAATCTGCACATTAGATATTGGATGACAGAATCATGCTTAAGTTAAAGGTTTGATGGGAAAACCACGAGTACCCATTAAATGTGATCAACCTAATTTGAGGTATTTATCTCACTCCTTTTATATGGTGGAAATTAGATCTCATAACTTTATCAAATAGTAGCTTGGTTTAGCAATAGCAAGCTAGCAATGAGCTCATACATACTGTTTTTATTGAGGTATCTATTCCCTTAATATCTCTGGCTGTATAAAGCCATTGGGAGCAATGCTGTAGATCAATGAGCTGGGCTATTTCCTGATGGCTGTATTGGATTCTCATATGATTTTTGCATCAGTGTAATGCAGTACTTTCATTTGTCAGGCATTCAACTGGCTCAAAACAGATATTCCCCATTTGACTATTTCATTCACAATTCTTCAACTGATTTGCCAGGAAATGTATTATATCATGACATATATATATATATATATATATATATATATATATATATATATATATATATATATATCAGTGTTGCAATATATAATTACATATACTGGATAGAGTATTAAATCCATAATGCCAATTACTATAGATACTATAGCCTACAGCAGTGCATTCGCATTTCTGAAATAATTACATATTACCTCATAGTTCTGACATAAGTTCTCATGGAAATCTGCTCCCTTTTTACTGAGTTAACAAAGGCTGAGAACAGGCACTGAGCTGTGTGCACGGACCACACCGACCTATCTCTCTCCCTCTGGTTCTCCAGTGGAGTACCAGTGGGTGAAGGCTAGAGGATACAGGGCCCTACATGGGCCTGCTGAAGGCTGTGTCAGGGCTAGTGCCCCAGTGTGAGGAGCTTTGGGACAGACTTAGAGGGCCCACTGGAACATGCTGGAGGTTTTTTGGATTTGAGTTATGCTCAGGGGGGTCTGAGAGCTGGCCCTGAGCATGGAGAGCTTGCTGGAGGTATCTCGTTAATTCAGAAAAACAGATCTCAGTCACTGGTAATTATTTGTTAAATTTTCTTTATTTCACATACCCTTTACAATAAATTTGATATCTTTAAAAGTCTGTCCCCATTGTTCATGACTCTTTCAAAAACACAGGACTGTTACCAGAAATAACAGAGAAAGAGAAATGAAGTCTGTCTGAGGACATTTCAGAAAATACCAGGCAAGTGAACGAGACCAACATCATTTGAATTGCTCTGGATTGGTCTGAATTGTCGGTGCCTCAAATTATATGGCACAGAGATAAAATAATTGCACTGTAACAAAAGAACATTCATTTTCCTCAATCCAACCATTTCAGTCCGACCAACAGGGTTTCTGCCTTAAACCTGGGATATTAGGTAGAGTAATCCCAATCATACAGATTAAACCCAGAAGCCACAGTATCAATATAAAACTACTGAACAAATGAGAATAAATACTTTAAGGCTAAGGCTGGATAACAGTAATAAGAAAAGGAATAACAAAAAATGACAATTCAGTTCTCCCTTGTGGTTACAACGATGCATAATTAACTGGAACTGTACATTGGGACAACGGGGCAATTCCTCCCCACTTCAACCTTCTCATCCCAGTGTTTGCATGTCTCGTAACCACAGTGCTCTCCAGCCAGCCGTCACTGTTAGCTAAATATGTCATACACCTAACGAGGCCTGGCAAATCACAACAAGCAAACTTTCCTTCAAGCGCTCTTCCTCTATGCAGGACCTGCTCATTGTCCTGTGGCGGAGCTCACAAGGGAATAGGAGAGTGCCAACCCATCCTGTTTACGGCACTTCAAACCCCAAATCACAATGACATTGCTAAACACACCGCTCAGTGCTGCACAAGGTTAACACAAAGCCAACAAGTTTAGTTTCAAGACAGAGCAGTTGACACGCAATATGTTCTTCTGTGAAAAATAGAATCTAAAGCTAGAAGTAATCCTTAAACTTCACTCAGTAAAACACAGCAAACCGCAGAATCATCACCCCCTTAAAACAATTTCAACAAAACCCTTCATGAATGTAAGATGTATTGCTGCTGTATTAAGACTGCATTTGTTTCAGCTAGGTGGACCTAATAAACTGGCAACTGAGTGTATTTGTTAGTGGTCAAGCAATATGGTTTTTTTTTAACATGCCGATGCCAATATTTAGAGAGCAGGGCGGCCGATATATAACGCTGATATCAAAACAAAAGAAAGATATATTTCCATTATTCCAGGCACATGACAATCTAATATACTTAGTTATCTGAGACAGTATCATGTTTTAGAAGAACTTTCGATGAATAAATAAAACAGAAAATACTTTGGGTTATGTTGCAGATTTCAGAATGTGATGAAGGGTACAGCATGTCAGAAGAGAGGTCATTTAACTGCATTATTCTATACATTATAACTTAATATATGTTTAACACCAACCAGCAACGGTTTTAGATTAGATTAGCTGTCATTCAGGATGGAAAAAAATGTGTGTTAACATTAAGAAAAGATAATGGTGACTGAGGAAATGTAGGTTTACGGTTAAGCATGATACTTTTTGACCTCAAATCTCACAAGGAGGAACGCTAACATTGTTCCACAGCAGCCACACTGACCAGCCTGCCAGCAGATGATCCAGCCTATCAGCCTACCCATCAAATTTAATTGAAAATCCATCTAAATGTTAAAATATCTCACTAAAACCCAAACATGTCAACCTCATGGTCGAGCTAGAGGATAAGTCAGGGGATTACCAAACTCAGTAGGAGTCACCGTCTGAGGACCATGAATGTCTTTCTGCAGCAAGGACGGGGTTTGAATTTTTTTAATAAACAGGGCACAAAATTAAACAAAAGATTCACAACAGATATTGAATCCATCACAGCGCACAAGTTTTCCTCTCTCGGTCTCTACACAACATAGGTTTATTCGTATCTTGTGGGGCTAAACTGGTGGAACATTTCACACTGCCATTGCTTAATACATAACTGGAAAGGGGCCCATTGAGCAGCGCAGTCAGGCGGATATGGAGTGCTACGTGTTGTTCTAACTGCACTTATGACGGAGGGGAAGGAACTGCTCACTATTCACACTCTGACTGAGACTGTTTTCATATTAGAGCCTGGAACCTCTACGGTCTCATGACTCAACAAGTACAGTGTTTGTTAGCTAAGCTGGTAAATGAAAACCCCTTCACACAATTGGTCAAGTCAGTGCTAAAATCCAAAACAACAACAACAGAAGATTAACATCTTGAGTGTTGGGGGCAAGACCGTGTGTGTCTGTTTGCCACGACTCCACTTTCAACCTAGCCAGTCCTCTGCCGGCTCCCAGGACATATAGGACTAACCACAGCTGCAGCATGCTAATCGGCATGCTGTGCAATTTTATAAACAAACACTACAAGCATGCTAATCAAGTCAGTTCTTTGACAGACAGCTTGTATGCTAATCCCACACTGCTGTTCTGTGTGTGTGCTCTATGTGTTTACCTTACCGTCGAGCATAAACAAACCTCTTTAGTTGGGGGGCCTGACTGAACAATAAATTAGGTGGCAGGCTCAAGTATGACGATGATTAAGCCAATAAAAGAACATTTTTCAAACAGGTGACACATTGGCAACAATACACGACATAAAACCATATCCTCTTAGTAGCTGGAGTCTTATTTCAAGTGAGTACTAAATGGTGTCCTCCCTCAAGCGCCTAACGATACCCATCAGTCATTGCAGACAGATGAATCATACGAGTATCCGTGACTAAGTGACTCATTAAACCAGTGTAAACAAACACAAGGTTACAGCCCTGCAAAAGTAAAGGGAACCACAAGCCAGACAAGAGGAGACATTTACGTTGCTGGTCTGTCCTAGTTATGAGCTACAATGGAAACTACCCTTACTTGTGTCATCGAAGACGAATCAATCAACACTGAGCTTGTATTAGTCAACACTCATTTGGGTATCACATTACAAAGGGGTTTTCTAGTGAATACTGCTGCAGCTGCTACGTGATGTAAAGGAAACAGTCATTTTATTTCCCTGCAAAGTCACTTACAAGTGTATGGGAAACTTAACAACTTTACCCACATGCGTCGAGTCTGCCAGTGTGTGTCGACAACATCCATCAAAGCAGGGCAAAACGTATTTGTAAGACAAATAACTATGGTGTGGCATTGTTGTAACAAATGCAAATGCTGCAGCAGCATTAGCCAGGGTGTGATTACTGGATGCAACACTTCTCAGCATGTAAGGTAAAGAAATGTCCTTAACACTTATGCAAAAGATGGTCGTATGATCGCGTCTACAGTTCATCTAATCTGCACTACAGCTGAAAGGTTTCGTGTTTTTAGATTTTGGTTTCTAAGGTTCAACTGCAACCGCCAACTCCACAACACTTTGTAATCAAAACTGATATACACACACCATTATTTAAATGATCAGACTGAATTTTGACAAAGTGTCACGCATGAGATAAGATGAAATGAGAGAAGTCAAAACTAATCTGATATCAGCCACTGTCACTTCAGCCAGGCCTGTGCTTGTTGCCGTTATTCACATTTTCTGACATACCAACTAACAATAAATGTAAAGCTGAATGAAAATCAGTCCAGGCTATAACAGTGTTGGTTAGTCAAGATCCACTTCTTTATAGCCATAAAACAGCACAAGACAGAAGATAGTAGGTGGGAATGTGTTAGGGTTTTTTTCCATAGTTTCGTCAATTATGTCTGGGAAGTTTTTTTTCACAATAAAATCAGGCTGCTTCCCTTTTCTTACTGTGAAACAGCAAGTCACAGTAGCGGTACATGTGTCTCTCTCTCACATGTGACCTCAAACCTGGTAAAAGGTTCAAAATATAACCAAAGTCAAATAAAGAGTACCTGTGAAGTACAGCAATAATGAAAAATGCCAATGTTGGCAGATAAACAAATGAAGTGAAGAAAAAAAAAAAACACCTTACCAAAAGGGAGACAGCAAATGTGCAAATGTACTGCTTATGTTGGTTTGTATCTGTCTGTCTCAACTTCTCCTCTCTGTCCTAAATGAGCAGTGCCAGGTTTCAACAGTCCAACACAGGGGATTTTTCAAGGTCAGCTTAGCTCAGTCAGCCATGAATTATTGAGCTTGAGCAAGCTCTGTTCTGTTTGTGCCACTTCTGACGTGGTCCTTCTTCCCTCAAGTTTGCTCACTGTGACACATGACAAACTAAATATCCAACAATGACGGCGTGACAATGTATTCAGGCCCAATTCCTGTTGGGAAATTTTCTTTGTGTTTAACCTCTTCAACAGGAAGGTCACAGGGTCACATACTGGCCAGAAGGTAAAGACACTTAAGCAGGGTGGATGATGCATGCCATTACAAGACTTAAAAGATTTTTCTTGCTTTTTTAATACTGTAATATGGTTCTCATACAGCACATGCAAATATTGTGAGATCTGACATTTTACTGTCTAAATTAGGTCAATTTAATCAGAAAATATAAGTTAATGATTGAACTAAGGTGAGTCTACAGAAGCTTAAAAATCAGGTTTACAAGAATTTGGGGCAGGTTCATGGCCATGTTTTGTTTCAGTCTGCTGATTTGCACAAAAACACATTGAATAATCCCAATGAGCACAAAAGCACACATGTGCATGCACTAATTTTGTCTCCTCTCTGCCAAAATATTCCTCTAGCACATTTGATTTAACAGTCACGAGGGAATTTTGCTCATCCTCTTGAGTGCATCTATGTTTGCAGGTGGCCATTCTTCATTAAACATACACACACATGCACTAGACACACACACGCACGCTCTTTATCCAGACACTTTCCCTAGGTAGAGGGATTAACTCTAATACCTGACCACAGTGAACCAGTCGGCTGTAATCTTCATCCCGTGCCTCTCTCAATCGTAACAAGAACCAGCCACTCACCAGTGGAGTAGGCTGTCTGCACCAGAATAGAATAGGGTTTATTAATAGCAAATACAGCACTGGAAAATTACCCCGTATTGTTCTGGCTTTTTATACAACATGATGTCTATTTATAGTTTTGAAGATAGGGAGGCAAACGGGTACACACCTCAGTGAGACGCCAATTGGCAGAGACAAGGACTTTTGGTGAGTAAAGGTCACAAACAGCCAGGCAACAGTGACTACGGTCAATATGTTCCTGTGTAAATCAATAGTGCTGCCCCGAGGACACACAAAAAACTTATTTGGGTAAAAATACATACTACAGGCAATAATACAGAAAGAAGAAAAAAAAGGAAAGAAAGATGGGTGCACAGAGGAGAGGAGAGAAAAGAGAGAGTGAAAGATTGGCTATTCTTTCTCCCCCATCCTCTCCTCAGCTCTCATAGGCCAGGCTAGGGGAACTGAGGCGTACGCACATCCTGGGCTAAAATTAGCTCTGCTGCAGCTGCAGGGCCAGACGTGTTGGGATGGGCCCGTGTTGCAACTAAGTACACACACACACACACACACACACACACACACACACACACACACACACACACACAGTTCCACCAATTAGACAGGGTGAGCCACAACACACAACAGCACAGGTGAATGCCAACAGCATCCTGCCTCCTCCCTCTCTGTTCCACAAACTGTGGCATACAAATGCTTTCGATGCAAATGTTCACTACATATAGGACACACACACACACACACACACACACACACACACACACACACACACACACACACACACACACACACACACACACACACACACACACACACACGAGGCCCTCCAGAGTGTCCCACATTAACCTCACCTACACATATTAGCAGCACTGAGATCGAGGAGGAACAACTTGACTAAAAGCCGAAGGCATTTGCTACACTTCAAGCATTTAGTTTGAGAAGAATGACTTATCATTTTCAAACAACAGTATCATAATAAGCCAGTTCTTCTATAGACTGCAAGTGGGATGGTTGTAGTGTCCTGACAAGCCTTGGTTTTACTTACAAAAGGAAAAATAACACTATCTATCTACTGTGGTCCCATTTCCAAAGTAGCAGGTCGAGTGTTTTCGTGCATTTTTGCATTATACTGAAAGGTATTGTCTATTATTCTGTTCCCCTTGTGTATATACCAAATGGTAAAACCAACATTACAAACACCTTTATTCTGTCCAATGTAACACCATCAGTAGCAACACCCTCAAAGAATAACACAGGAGTTAAAGGTCCAGTGTGTAACATTTAGGAGGATCTATTGGTAGAAATGGAAAAATAATACATATCTTATCTGAAAATAAGAATTGTTGTGTTTTTGTTACCAACGAGCCACGGGTCGCCTCCATGAAGTCCACCAGGTGTTGCATTTCGCAGCCTTCGCACTTGGAAGGTGAGGGTGAAGCGAGGGGGTTGCTGCAACTACACCGCTACACGCTGGTCCTTTAAGCAACACTTCTGTTCTCGTCATACTCGTCTGTTACCAAGCTCCACCAATGTACAGCAGGGTAACTGTACGGTACCGGATTAGATTGTACAGGTGTACCAAATAAAGCATGTAAAACAAGAGCCTTGAGGCGGAGGGGACTGTTTTTTATGACAGCTTGGGCAGTCGCAAGTTCACTGACAGTTCAAGCTACAGACACATGACCACTAATTCCACAGTATTTAGCACAGCTGCTGGCATTGTGAGCATGGTGTGTGGCGGAGCAGCTAAAGCATTTAACTTTACTCCAGAGAAACTGAGGAAAATGCTGCACCGCCACATAAGCTGCTCAGTAGTCCTCAAACAATAGGCCACCTTGAGCTTTCGTGACATGCCAAGAGCACCGCACAGCCCACAGGCCTAAGATCACAGCCTGCATGACCAAAGGATAAACAAGGGGGAAAACAGAGGAGAGTGGGCGCATCACTACACTATCATCTCAGAAGCTAGGGGACCTGCTGAAGTGCTGAATACCAAGAAAATCTACTGGCCTCTCAACTTCCTCCCACCCCAGAGACTCATAATAGTTGTTAAATCGAATTGTTTCATACAGTATGAAAAACAACAATATTGTGGGCTACATTTTGGCCCCATCTTTCCCACTGCAGCAGATGCAAAGAAATGACTGAGCTCTGCTAGCAACTGTAGCCAAGTTAATAAGAATTATCCTTTGAACCATGGCCAGACTTTGGCTTGCCAATGAAACATTCAGTCCCTTTAAGTATTTTCAGGACCTAGACACCTAAAAAAATTTAATTGCAATACAAACTGTTCCTTGAAGGATTTTGACTGTCTATATTTGATCAATTGGATTGCATAATATCAGAAATCCTTCATCCTGTTACTCCCAAACAATGCTACGTACACTGGCAGCATTAGTTAACTCGGGCTCACTAACTGTAAGGGAACACGTTTGTTAACAGGTGCCTTATCCTCCAGTAAACATCTCTCACAGCTTGCTTCAGCAAAAAGCCCCCACTTTCCTTCCAAGTCTTTTCTATCATATTGCAACAACAAATAACTGGCAATAATTCAAAGGCTCCTGGAATCAACCAGGCTTTGGCATCGGTTCAACTTCAGACAGGCGCTGAGTCGTGACCAGCAAGCTGAGCAGAGAGCTGATCTACGGGGAGGTAAAGCCCAGCAGAGAACAGTGGCTCTGAGAGGATGATGACCTATTATCTTGGCTTAAATAAACCGTGCATACTGCCACTATTAATGATACAGAGCTTTTCCCCCTTCAAACACGCATTACACTTTGACACCCAGTGCAACAGTGGGAGAGTTCAGGTGCAGTTCAGTCTCATGCAAATTATGCTCAGGTCAACGGCAGGATATATCATGTTTTGTTAAAGAGCTGCCATTCGCATGTTGAATGAGCTTTGTGGTCAAACTGCTCGATGCAGGTGTGGCTTTTGGTGGGGAACGGTCTTAAAGAAGAACATGAATGGTGTTAGACTTTTTCAACGTACTTTATGTGGTAATTTCTTTCTAAAATTGTTTTAAAAATGTCAAGAGGCTCTTAAATCTATTTCTTCCACACAGTCTTTCAGTTGAGTTTGGTCCCAGTGTGCAACTATCTCTCTATTTGACCTCTGGGTCACTACTACACAGCAGCAGTCACACATTCACAGGCTCCAGCTTCTCAAGTGAGAATCTGCTGCTTTTCTATTACTGAATACTTTGGGGGTTCATACTCCTGGTCAGAAAAAGGGCTGGTCAGAGAATTTTTGCTTTTGCACTATGTGTAAACTGTTGAGTGAAATTAGTTGTTACATAATGCACAAACTTACTTATAGTCACTACACACTATTTGTACCATTTGTACACCTGGCTGTTGCAGTTTACGGTACTGTCGTGACTCCAGGTGGTTGGCTGGCGCTGGTTGTCTCATCGTGAATTTAACGTTGTGTTTGTTGGATTCAGTCTGTCCCTGTCGGGTAGCTAATGCTAGCAAGCTAGCTGTCTGAGTCTCAGTTTTGCTCTCTATTTTTGGAAACCGATTATGAAACTAGACATTTCTGCTCTGTAAATAATTGAAGCTAATAATGATAGCCAAAGACTGTGAGATTGGTATTTTTAAATCATGACAGCCTTGCAAGTGGGGATGTTTTTAAAAAATCATTATTGCTCAACCATCTTGCACATTAAGCTCTATGTTTCATAACATATTTTAGCCTCCAAGATTTTCTTTTTTTGGCCATAATTCTGATAGACATTTTTCACAATTGTCTGACAATTTATAGTCTAAACAACTAATCAAAGAATTGGGGAAATAATTTACAGAAACCATGATGATGGATGGATAAAATGATGATTAGTTTCAGCCCTACCCTCCATTTCAAAACTGCCCTCACTGTACATCCTGATATATTAACATCTGTAATTTACCATACAATATCAATATCATCATATTCAAAATTGAACAATTGTAGCTTGATGTATGTATCAATAGCAATAATTGCTTTTCTCTGTTTATTATCAACAGTGTATCAGATTTAAACCAGGCTAAAATACATGCTGCAAGTTAGCTATTCACCGTGTCCAAAGCAGAATGGTGCATAAGGTTAACCACCTGATCTGCCAACACAGCACTGTATTAATAATAGAGGATTGCAAACATTGCACTTGCTGAAATGAACTGAAGGAGGTGAAAGTCTGTGGCACGCTTGAAATCAACCGGTCACACTGCACAGCAGAAAAATGACAAAGCCTTTCAACACTTCTATGGGAACCAGCAATTTTCCCCGTAGGGATAATACAGTTAATCTAACCCAATCAAAACATTCACACACGTCCAGCGAACCAGCGCTCTGATAACGGCCGGAGAGTTCAGCAGCATAAGCCACTTTCCAAACATAATCTGAGATTGTTTTAAAATCGTTTGACAAAGACTTCGTACAATCTACCACAATGTGTTCTCCTTAGAGAAGTTATTAATACACTGGCAACAAACAGGGGTGGTTTCTAAAAGGATTGGATTCCCCATTGTAATTCGCTAATTTTAACTAAAACTTCAGTAGCCAATATTGAGACGATCTTAAATACAGTAAGTTGTGGCAGTGGTGCATCCATCCTTTTCCACACAGTAATCCTGAAAATGTTTTGCTTCTGGCTTTTTATCAAGTTATGGCTACTTTTGGTTACTTTTGAATGTTCCGATAGGATAGCACACACGTGCATGTATCTGTTTTAAAATGTGAATTCTACAGTTTGTTACACACTTTCTGTAAGACTGACTCAGAATACAGCGGCTAAATCCTACAACTTCAGTAACACAACTACAACTGTAGTGAATTGTTGATTAATCATATAGTTTATTGTTTGTCAACAAACATCAGTCACCCTCCTGATGTGCATTGCATTTTGCCAAATTGCCTGTACGGTAATAGCTTAGGCAATACATCTTGTGAATCCTAAACATTGTTGCAATCCATTTTGAAAGCACTGATTCGTTTACAAATAAGAGAGTACACACATTATGCTGCTCCACCTCTTTAGAGCCCCCAGAGGAACAGTATGAACTCATGTTTGGCTGACAGAGAGACAAGGCTCTGAGCGCGCGGGGGGGTGGAAGACGTACTGTACATCATGGAGACAACCAGCACACAGACAGACCTCATACCTGGCAGTGCGGTGAGTCAGCAGCACCACTCTCTGCATGCCAACTACATATCCAGCTGACTCCCAAGACTGACTCCACTGCCGACTTGTATGCACATCAACAACCGATTTGGATGCCGAATGACAACAAACAAAGGAAAATACTATAATCAATTTAAGAAATGCTGGATGTTTGGAACTGGAAGAAGAGGAAGGGCAAGGGGGGGCTGGCTGCCTGTGTGATCCTCAGGCTCTGTGGGAGCGAGTACAGTGGAAAATAGTCCCCACTGTTAATCCATGGCAGGCTAATTACAGCTTTGATCCCCTAGGCATGTGCATCACCATAGGTGGGAGGGAGGCAACACACTCTGGGGCTAGATACAGTTACGGTTAGATTTGTTTTGGTTTAGATCTGTCTTCAATAAGCTCACATCTGCTGCAAATGCCCCGCAACTACAGTATACTCTTTGATAAGTGAATTCACCAACTGCACAATATGATCTGATACTTTTTTTACTGCCTTCTGCTCATCAAAGACACGGAGACTGCACAAGCTGCCATTTGTAACACTGAGCAATAGAAGAAACTCGACTCCAGCAGACAGAGACACAGATTAAGTGGGTAAATGGAGTTTCGGTCAAAAATAGGCCGCAGCTCTGATGATAGCCTAGTCCCAAAACACATGGTGGCAGAGATAGAGCACGGAAAGGAGGCAAGAAGAGGAGGATGATGATGATGATGTGAGGATAAGTAGCAGATGGCATGGAATTATCTGGATCTTCAGCTCTACATCTTTGCCCACAGCGCCATTATTTGAGGGGTAGTTGACTTAGCATGTCCAATATCACTCCAAGCAGCATTTCATTTAACGTACAGATAAACAGCGGCGCGTCAACATTGAAACATCAACTAGAAAGCAACTTGGCAGAAATAAGCTTGGCTTGGCAGAGCAGAGAGGAATGAATTAGTGATGTTGGTGTCGTGACAAGTGTTGGTTGCTGGTAACTTTGAGCACTTGACTGGTCTGACATAAAATACAGATCTTGTCTCAGCCGAATTCTGCACTGTGGTTGAAAACAGCTACCAAGATGAAAAGTTTCTGGGTGAAAAGCTTCATCGCCAAACACTGTCTGCACTCTCACCTCTGTTTACCGACACGACTGTGAATTAAAACCTCTCCTGTTATTTTTACCAAATCCAACACAACTGAAACATGGACACATATGTGATGATGCAAACTCAGACATGATGGTAGGATGACTACAACTACACACCAGAGAGAAATAAGAAGTCACTAACTGGCTATACATAACTCACCATACAGCAGAGGCTATTCAGAGAGTGAACTCCCTTTACATTACAGTGCTTTTAACTCCACAGCAGCTCCTCTGAGGCAAGCTTTACTGAACAGACCCAACCCTCATGTGTTAGTGCTGCTTTTAGCATTAAATAAAGTTAAACACAAAGCCTACAAAGGGTGCAAAACGGACACTTCCGCTTACAACTTTCAAAATAAAACGCTTGAACAAACAAGCTGCAGCGTTTTAATAGCGAGTTCAACTTCAAATGAATATAGAGTAAATATCCATACATTAAGTGACAGCCACATTAAGCTATCTAACGTGTAACCTACACGTTTCTACGCAGCTGATTATGTTAACCAGTTAAGTTAACTAAGCTAACCAGCTAACACCGCCGCCGCTGCCACGACAGCTTGAACCTGTACCGTCAACGTTAGCCACCTTAGCTCCGCGTACAATGCCGCTAGCGTGCCCCGTTACAGCCAGCAGCCGGCGGGCATCCTCATCCTTGTTGTTTCCCCCCCACCAGTCGTGACCAGGCCGAAACGAAATGCCTGGCTCCGACGCCGAAGCCGAAGCATCTGCTGTGTTGGTCACCCCCAAAAAGCTAAAGACACTGGCCAGCTCTCTCTCTCTCTCTCCCTCCTCCTCCTCCTCCTCCTTCAATCCCTTCGCTACCGCTGAAAGCCTCCTCGGTTTACATCCACAGTGCTGAGGAGGTTTCCAAGTCACCACCAGCAGCCCTTGACTGCGACTACCTACAAAAAATTCTGAATGTTTTGCCAGCTAACATTGAAGTACTCACCCCCGACTGAAGCTGGTGACGGCAATGTCAAGCGGGGACTGTAACAGGGGGGAAGTGTAGGGGGGTAGGTGGTGGGTTTTTGGGTTTTTTTGCCCCGGAACGGTCACCCAGGTCGAGTATCTTTTCCTCCAAACGATCCCTCTCTCTCTCTCTCTCTCTCTCTCTGAGTGTGCCTGTGTGAGCACAGCACCTCCGTACGATCTCTCCACACTGCAATGGTGCTGAACCACAGCGGGACACGATTGGTCAGCCTGAGCGGAACTCGGAGCTCTTTGGGAAGAGAAACACTCCGGCGGCCTGCAGGGGGAGCAGCACTGGTGCCTTCACGGCTGTGGGAAAACTCACCACCAACCTTCAGCGTTAACCCAGTGGCTCCTCAAGAGGCTCGTTTTTATACCACTGAGTGCACTGACGACCCGTGGTTAAGTGGATTTAATTCATTGATAATTGTTTTATTATAGCATATTTAATGCACAATAATAACTACAGAGCAACCGGATAAACTGTATAATGAACCCCAAAAATGTTATATAATTTATGGTTATTTCATACTACATTCAGTGCATAACGATAACAGAACAACTATACAATGAACCAAAAAAATCGAAACAATAACTGCAGGACGTTTGTGTAAAACAAGTGATTTTGGATGAATTTCGAGCAGATTGTTTCCTGTTCAGAGCATCAGAGACGAGTTTTCCTGATATTTTTAGGAACTTTTTACTATACAATTAATCAATGCACGCTGATGGGTTTCCATTAAGCCATCACATCTGGAGTTACAAATGTTAAGGCTCATTAATAAAGTCTTTAAATCCACCAAGTCTGCAGTTTTAAGCGCTAATAAATTGTAAATAAATGGATTTTAGTTCAGATCATCTGCTGCCACATATGTGCCTTTAAGTTTTTTGTTATCAAAGCGTTGCCGCCCTTATGCTTTCACTTTCACTTTAGCTATCAGAGCCTCTGCGTAGTTTTTGTCTAAAACTCACACTAATTTGTTCATTACCACGCAAACAAAACGGAATTAGCACATCTCTCTCTTAAGGAAAGGGAACTAAAGGTTTAAGGCCTTTTGCGGTTTTTTAAACACGCTAGAGGTTTATGTGGTACTTTCCGAGACACCCCTTAGTGGTGCGTCATCTTTCCAGCGTGGTATTTAATTCCCCTTCATCTTGTGACTTCGGCGCAGCAAGGTGGGTTTTTTGACTAATCCTCTCAATAACTAATGCATTCCTTGTTATGCTCTCACGATAGTTAATTAGGATTTCATCTCGTTTCGTTTGTAGCCATACTAGTTTGTCAGCTACCACCACCGTTCACTCCTCGTCTACCAAACTCCATGGCTCTCGTAAACCAACATCAGCTGCAGGCGATTAACCAGATACTAGAGTCTCTGAACGGCAATGAGCGCAGGAGGCTCCTCTACCTGTGTGGGAGCCTGGACACGGACAGCAGTGTGGCTTGTATGAAGGAGATGTTGCAAGGTAAAGTGATGCGCAATGAGACGGGAGATCTTTATCTGAGGGAGCTGCTGTTGCACCTCAGACGTTTTGACATCCTCAGGAAGGTGTGTAAGACCAGCAGGGATGAGGTGGAGAGGGCTATGACATACAGCCAGGTCCTGCCAAGATTCAGGTAAGATCTGTTTTTAAAGAAGTCAAATCGGTCATACATATTTTAAACAGTCCAAGTTAAAAACATACTTGTGGCTCTTGAAGTAATTGTGTTTTTTTCCCCCCTTACTGCAGAGTATTGATGGCTAATATAAGTGAAGATTTGGGCAATGAAGATCTCAACAGTATAAAGTTCTTGTTAAGCAGCACTTTACCTCGTGAGAAAATGGAAAAAGCTAAGGTGAAATACAGTGAGAAGTTGGTTTTATTTTCACTTACTGAATTCTTTGTGGGTGTGCGTGCGTGTGTGTGAGTGTGTGGGTGTGTGTGTGTGTGTGGGTGGGGAGTTTTGGTCTCACTGGAGGCAAAAATGTCAACAATGTACTTTCTCAACTTGCCTTCTGTCTCTCTCTCTTCCATGACAGAGTTTCCTGGATGTGATAATTGAACTTGAGAAGTTGGATAAAGTTTCCCCTGAAAGAGTCGACTTTGTACAGGAATGTTTAATGAACGTCGACAGGGTTGATCTAGCCAAAAAAGTGGCCACGTACAAGGTGTCAGGTGAGACTCTATTTGCTTTTTACCATTTAATAATAAATGGCTCAGATTGTGGAAAAAATGTGACAGAAGCAGAAGTGACGTATGAAATTATTACATATTCTTTAGACTGGTTTATTAAGAAATGGGAACTGAAAATGAATTCCCTATATACACTATACATGCTAGTACAACACAGAGCACACCACATGTTGTACATTGTTCTTCAACCACATAAAAGAAAGTGAAACATAAGAATAGACCCCTCATATGAAAAAGCCATGCATTGTTCAAGTACTTTAATATGAAGCAAAAATTCATTTTATTGTGTTCAAACAAAAAAGTAATTGTTCTTTATTTCCCAGATTATGAAATAAATCATGGTATAAAACAAAATGTATTTCATTCTGGTTTAATTTAACTGTTCAATGTTCATTGATACCAGCATCCAGTACAAATGTAGTGCTAAGATACCATACCTCAGTTGCATGCAGATATTAATACTATACTAAACTCTATATTTATTCAACAATATGTTATATTGTTGTCATTATTCCATTTTACTTTAAACAAATAAAACAAAACAAACCTTAATCAAACCAATATACCGTACCAAGTGTGCAAGGACCACATATACCACATGAGGAATTGAGTGTAATGTGGAGATACTAACGTCTATAGATGTATTTAGCGCACAAAAACATATGGAATTAAATCCTGACCAAGTAACTTAATGATCCTTTATTACTTTAATTTACGTCTGTCTGTGTTCACCTTTCCCAGTTGTGACGTCTGAACAACATTCACCTCAACAGCAATGGTGCAGAGTTCCTGTAAGTATGAGCACAGAGGTTAACACTGACTGTATTAATTCACTCGCTCATGAAACTAATACCTCTACTAATAACTAATACATCTTCTCCTCAGCGCCCATTTCTGGCTCCGAATAGTTCTCATCTTCTACAGCAAACAAGACAAGAACAGTCCTGTCACACTGGTAAGACAGGCTTCATATTAGCAAATACCAACTTCAAAGTCAATTTGTGTTTGCTAGATACTGTAAGTGATATATGGAACAAGAATAAGCAAATGTTACACCACCCAGCTACCTGGTAATATCAGCTGGAAAGCCCCAGGTCCCTCATTGTCTTTCACTTTGATATTCATGTTGCCGTATTACTCTTTGTCATTACAGCAGAAAACATACCAGTGTCTGTATACAGAGCGCAGAGCTGTCAGGTAAGATCTTCACTCACTATTGTTGCAATTTTATGTCAATATTTAATTAATTAAGTTGTGTTTAATTAATAAAGTGCATTTATGAAACTGCTTTACTTGTTCTTTTGTATTACAGAGTCAACTAGAGTTGTACAAATTTAACAGTAATCCCAGAGGAGTTTGTGTTATCATAGACTGCGTGGGTAATGACGGAGGTGAGGCACAAAACTCTTTGTATCTACAGTCCAGTGGTGGAAGAAGTATTCAGTTATTTTACTTAAATACCAGTACCAGTGTAAAGTACTCCATTAGAAGTTACAGTTCTGCATTTAAAATCACATTTAAGTGTAAGTACAGACATACAGTATTATCACTTAAGGAAGAAAGCAGAAAAATTTTCCTTGACTGGTATATTATTATTATATATTACAAAGTGGATGGTTAATACTGATACATCAATATGTAAGCAGAATTTTACTGTTGTATCTGGTCAAGACGGGGCTAGCTTTAACTCACAGATAGCTAGTTTAATTCATTGGTTTCCAGCCTCAGGGTCGGAGTTCAAAGGGTCACAAGATAAAGCTGAGGAGTTGTGAGATAATAAATGAGGAACGACAGAAAACAAAGTCCTGCTCCACAAATTTGTTTTCATTGCTGTTACTTTTCTCTTATCTTTGCTTTTTTGTGAAATAATCAATACTTTGACCTTTTTTTGAACAGTTGAATGAAACCATGTGAGAAGTTTAGATGGGAAATGTATTTTTTTTTGTAAGGGTCACAAGCCAACAATGTTGGGAACCATTGAATTCATTTTTAACAATGTATTTTTTAAGTTTATCTTATATTTTTAGGTAAAATATTAATCTGAAAAGTAACTTGTAACTATAGCTGCCACACAGATGTAGTGGAGTAAAATGTAGCAGAAAATGTACAAATGAGTCAACATTGTACAGCATTTGAGTACATGTACTTAGTTACATGTACTACTGGAAAATAATGTTTGATTTGAATTAGCGCTGCAACAATTAGTCAATTAATCGACTAGTCCAATGGTTCTCAACCTGGGGGTCGGGACCCCCACTAGGGGTCGCCAAAGCTTAATGCAGGGTCGCAAGGCCTTTACACAAACTTTGCATTCACTGCTTACAGTTTATCAGTTGTTCTGTATTGCTATAATGTGAAATATCCAGCAGTTTAGTCAATGATAGAAAAGGGCTCCCTTGAGGAAAAAGGTTGGGAACCACTGGACTATTACTGGTCAACTAACAGAAAATTAGTCTGCAACTACTTTGATAGTCAATTAATTGTTTAAGTTGTTTATAAAGGGAAATTCTGTTGCTGTTCTTTGTCTCATGTCGTTGTAAACTGAATATATTTGTGTTTTAGAACTTAAACTTAAATTCTGGTTTCATCTTTCCTAACTCACTCAGACATGTTGGAACAAACATTTAAGGCCCTTCACTTCAAGGTAATCCTCCACAAGTGGCTGAGTGTGGAACACATTCTTTCAACTCTCAGAGGTATAATCAGTCAGAGAGAAAACCTTGAAGGTGATGGCTTGGTCTGTTGTATCATTAGCCGTGGTACGACAAATCACATCCTGGGTACAGACTCGTACAACGTAGGTCTGCACTTGGACAACATCAGACGTCTTTTCACTGCCGACTCCTGCCCCAAGCTGGCTGGCAAGCCCAAAGCCTTCTTCATCCAAAGGTACAGCGTCCCAGAGTTTCAGCCGTACGCCAGGATGCACCACCGGGATGAAGATCTGGAGACAGATGGGTGCGATAGGTTGCCCAGATGTGATTTGATCCCTATAGACGCAGATGTGTTCTGGAGTCACTCCTGGACAGATGAACATCAACTGGAGCAGGGAAACCATCGCTCCATTTACCTGAAGGCTCTGACAGATGCCTTACACAAAGGCCAAAGGAGGTACAGACAAAACTTCTGTTCAGTATCAGACAGTTTCCATATGATAGACAGGAGAAGCTATAGACTAAACTGTTGTTTTTGTTTTGACAGAAAAACACATCTTGTAGATGTTCATACAGAAGTAAATGGAGCCATCTTTGAATATAACAAAAGGAATCCTGGAGCAACGTACCAGATCGACCTGAAACACACACTACGGAAAGAGCTTTACCTGCAGTAGTCCTCTAGAGGATTTGTCATCATCGCTCATGAAATCCCTCATTACTGTTTAAATCCAACATATCCACATATTAATGTTATATATTCACTGCCATGTAGGAATCTTTTTTTGTTGTTGTTGTTAGTGTGAGTAGGGTGACACCTACTGCTTATAGTAACTCAAAACACTCTTATTTTTTTACAGATTAATCAAAAGTTTTTGTATTTTAATATGTATTTATTTAATCTTCACTCAGTATGTTTTTGTTTTTGTTTTTTTACACAACAGACATTCAGATGTAGGGTTTACATAAAACACACACCCAGTAAGAGCTTCACAATAGCAACATGTCAAGTCATGCAAGAGAGAAAAAAAACATTTTAGAGTCATATAAAGCACAACAAACTCAAGACTTACTGTTCATGTACATCATACATAACTTTTGTTTTTTAAAACATAAATGTGAATAGCCTCCTTCTTGCCTAATACAGTGCAGCTAAATATACCTATATAAATATAAATATATATATACATCAATACATTATTGCATTTAAATGTTTAATTTAATTTTGTTTATTTGTTCTGAGTTGTGCAGCTTGTATAATGACAATAAGGTATTCTGTAACTTGTTTTAGTGCCATATAAATATATATGTTATTTAATATTAACATGTATCTCTGAAGACATTCTAGGCACTAACAAATAGTGCATGTAACTTTGTAGGCTACTGGCATAATTTCATGAAGTCTAATTTAAATACAGATAAGCTATTTTATAGTTGTAAAGAAATTTGTATGAATGCTTGAATGCTTAATACACTCAATATGTTTTTACAATAAGACTTCACTTACTTCATCTTATTCAACACAATTGTTAATTTATGATTTTACTTTTTTCTTTCCTTTAAATCATTTGTTTATTGTAATAATATTTATGTTTCCTACGTTACAATAAATGTTTGTTCCACTTTGTTTCTCTTAATAAATCCTAATTACTTTCAGGTTGGGTGTCAGCCCAGTCCCTAACCAACCAAACTACTGCTGACCTTTATCTGTCCTGCTCTCCTACCAGAAACCTGAATTGAATTATTATTTTTTAAATAAGAGAGCCTTATTATTACATTAAGTAGTTTATAGATTGAGTGGTGACTTTACATATTACACTATAGTCAGTCAGTCAGTAGGGACTTGTCTTGTAAACCAGAGGGTGGGTGGTTTTAGTCTAGCTTGAACATGGTATCAGATGTTGACTGGAGCCAGTTCACTTTCTGGGCACTGCTGAGGTGCCCTGGAGCAAGCCACTGAACCCAACTGCTCCTGTGGTACTGCTACAAGGCAGGTTATCACTCTCCACATTTCTATGTCCATAGGTATTGTGCATGTGTTTGTATTTTGGGACTATGTGTGTAAAGATTACAGTGAAAAAAGCATTTCCCCAATATGGATGAGTAAAGTCAATCCCCTTTCATGCCAAGCGCTTTGACACTGTCACTATAGAAATATGAATTCCTTTAAAAGTGAAAGTATGTGTAAAGCACTTGTGTGACTTGTGCAATAAACTCGCCTTCAGTTTACAGTGTCTTTCAGTCATTGCACTTGAGCTTGCACTAATTTCTTTCAGGACTTCCACACTTATTGTTCAATGCATCACTTAGGCTACACAATTTTTTGACATTTCAACTCTTTTCTGCAATTTAATTCCCCCTGATACCTCAGCTTCACCCAGCGCTGCTGGTGGAATGTACCTTAGTAGACATTTCAGGTACTTTTTCTTCTCATGACACTTTGTAAGCTACTTCTTCTCCACAACATTTCAGAGGGAAATATTGTACTTTTTTCACTACATTTATTTGACAGCATGAGTTCATTTAAAAATGGAGATTTCTTCATACAAAACATCAATGACTTCACTTCCACCATTGCCCAGTGCTTATACTTAAACTTCAACAACTCCTTTCACCACTTCTCCTTTCAGAATCAGAAATACTTTATTGATCCCCGGGGGGAAATTTGTTTGTTACAGTTGTTCTACAATGTTAAAGAATAGAAATTAAACTTATATTGCAATATCTAATACAATATATAGAGTAGAAATGTATATATAGGTATATATACATATAAGTAAAAATAAAAATGGAAATAGAAATAGAAATATAATAAGAGCCTATGTACCTTATAGTAGTAAAATATATACACAATATATGCTAATATATAGAAAATAAATGTAAATGTATTCCACAATATGTGCTGACAGAAATTAAATAGTAATGAGTTTTTAAGATTGTGGTGCTGCATAAGTTAAAGATTATTACAAAGAATGACAGAATAAATCAGTGTGTTGCACATTGTATTGCACATTGACGAGGGGATTGCACGTTAATGTATTTATTGCACATTAACCACAGTAACATGTTTTTTATGTCTACCTCTACGTCTTTCAGTCTTTTTTTTTTTTTTTTTTTTAGAAATTTCTAGTCGTAAATATAATTTTTTTTATAGAAAGTTTTGAATTAAATCTGGTATACTATCCAGCCACAGATATTTTGTGGTAATTCAAAATATCCTCACTATACAAATCACACATTTTTTTTATCAGCCAGGAAATCAAGAAAAGTTTTTTTTTTTTTTTTTTTTGTGTGACATCCAAAACAATTACCAAACACCTAAAACCTTCAGCCTACATCACTGCCACGCAGCACCGCGATTGAGACAGCAGGAGGCAGGCAAGTTTTATGAGGAACATCAGGAAAGGACACAAGCGTGCAGCACACGGGCACGCACACAGACAACCAGGAGCAGGGCCTCGTGAACGCGCACGGTCAGGGCTGCTGTTGCTATGATGCAATGGCGACTGCGCCGTGGGAAGCGAGTGAGGAGTTGAATGAGTTCTCCCCACACAGCTGAAGTGAAAGCAGCCGCCGACAGTCAGGAAGGTGAAGAGGAGGTGGGGAAACAGACACGGAGACACCGGCGGGACCGTTGTCTTTTTCTCCCACACACTACATGGAAGCACACACAGCCAGGTGTGTCTTGCTAGCCTCTCAGATAGCCGTGTCATGACGCTTTGGAGACATTTCTCACACATCTGTACGACGTTGCAGCGAGACTGGAGAAGCACCAACACCCTATTTGCCCTCCCTAGCCGAAACCAAGTGAGGAGGGGTTGTTGTTGTTGTTTTTAATTCTTTTTTTTTTTTTTTTTTTTTGGTGGTAATTTCTGCTTGCAATTGTCCTCCTCACCTGCGACCCAGTGGACCTTATTCGTGCTCGGTACTGGACCGCTATGGCTGAGAGAACCTCCACCGGGTTGCTAACGATGATGTTGGAGCCCACGCCGGCTGTCGCTATGACCCTGCCGGCGGAGGTCCGGGAGAAGCTGGCGGAGCTGGAGCTGGAGCTCTCCGAAGGTAAGTTGACAACATGCAGCCTACCCGAACTACCGCACAGTGAGGCCAAAGCATGCTGTTTGTTTGTTTGTTTGTTTGTTTGTTTTCTCCTCCCCACGGAGAGGTGCTTAAAACATTGTTCATGGACATGACAGCTATCAGAAACCACCGCCCTTTATCTCGCCTTTGTGGAACATGTTTAAAAAACATACCAGCATCACTGAAATCATTCCCAAAACTGAACTTCTGCTGTAGTTTTCTCATCCTGAAGGACAATTACTGCAACACAGGCAGTTGGTAAACTCAACCACACAAGGTTAATGGGTTGCATTGATTGGGTTTTATTTCTGTTAAAGACAAGCTGTTCTTTGAAATTTCCGATATCACCACTCTCCAGATACCATATTTGATCAGATGGCTATCTGCCTCAATGTTAACAGCTGAGCTGACACACCCATGCTGCTGTTTTCTGGCTCAGTGTTTCACACAACCAGAGGTCCCTGTTGAAGTTTATGTAAAAGGAAAGTTCAGAGCTGAGAACCAATACCAATCTCTGACCAGAAGCCAGCTCTGTAATGGTTTCTGACTGTGAACCATGAAATTAGAAGATCATCAGAGAAGTTGAAACAAAGGCAATGTTAGCAAATATCAGGATCCTTATGAAAGTTTTAGTTTGATATTAGTGCATGTGTGTAAGTGTGTGTGCTCCTTGCTTCGTTAGATCCTCTCTTTTACCTCTTAGTTTGATGAACGTTGGTGCAAAAGAGCAAAGAGAGGCCTTTGAACATGGAGATGTTGCATCTTCAGATCTATAAAAAGTATTAAAACATTTCAATTTCCTTTCATTTAAACATCATTGGTCCAAGTGAAGTCACCTAATTCTTTAAAGTTTCATCTGATTTTATTTAGTTTTCCTTTTGTCATAAGAATAAAACAAGACAGACGGAAATACGACGACATCACGTACCTGTGCAAAGTCTTGTACGATGAGTAAGCACTGTTTACTGATAGGGTTTATTATACTGGTGACACAGTTTATGTAGCTGATTGCACTAAAACCATCTCAACAGAGAGTCACAACTAAATATGAAATTTCTCATAATTGCTCACATGATGCGTCCTAAAAATGACTCTTGTTTTCTTCATATTTGGTGCTAGAAGGACTTAACATTTAACTGTACTCCCTCAGCACTGTACAGAGTAAATAAAGCTGGACTCATCCCCCTGTTGACTTGAAATCCTTAAATAAGAAGGTGCATGTTTTTCCCAAAAGCTTTTCTTTTGTTTTTTTTGTTAGTTCAATGAGACTCATTGTTTTAAGTGTGCTCCATTTATTTGAGTGGTTCTCACGTGGTAATTAATTGAGTTGTGGTAAAGTCATACTAATTAATGACCTACATTAAGTCTGATTAGATTAGGGATTTGACCCCGGGGTGTGACCCTATTTCTTTCCAACTCTGGAGAAACTCTAGAAGCTCTTAAGTGTAGTCCCAGAACTTGAAATAATAGAAAACCCACTAACCTGTTTTTGAATTAATAGTCTTTTATTTCTCCATGTTAGCTGCGTGTGGTAGCACCATACTAGGGTCAGGAATAGACCAAAGGTGTACGCTTTGATAAGCACATTAACTGCCACTGAGGCCCCCTAATGGGATAGACATGTTTTCAGGAGCGGCTACCAAATTAATCTATATCTGTCCAGTTTCCTCTTCCTGCTCTCCACATGTCACATCCTGCCATGTTGGAGCTCTGATAGCAGTATCTCCCTGAACTCTATCTATCTGCCTTCTGCCTCCCTTTCTCTTTTTCCTCTATTTTCTCCCCGATCAAAGAAGAGAATGTTGTTCTCCTTTGGGTAAAGAGAAGTCACCCTCTTTTTCCACTCTCAAATACTATTCCTGTATGCTGCTGTGAACTCTTCACCTCACGGTGATGCCCTTCGGTTGCCTCCGCGTTGCATCCTGTCTCAGGATAGAATAGACGACTTGTTTTATTGGAAGGAGATGAGAGCCTGAGAATCCTGCGGGTTTTTTCTCGATCCTTCTCAATGCGCTCTTCTTATAGGGATTTAAAGTCAGGCATGTTCCATTGGGAGACGCATGTCGGTTTTTAGTATGCATGTGTGTGTGAGTGTGCAGGAACGCTGTATTATTCATGAAGTTGAATAGATATCGTGTCATGTATGTTTTCTTAAGCAGTATAGTAGCAGCAGCCATTGGAATAACATTAGTTTGAGACAACCCAGCAGCTCAGCTAGATAATATCCAAGCGTCAGCAGCTTTGGCCTGCTGATGTGTGAAATAAACAATCTGTGCCCTCTTATTGTGGTTATAATAAATAGGGTTTCCTCTAGAGATGCATTCATTTTCAATTTATCTTGCTCTGTTTTAATTTCTTAGGAAGTATGTATCCTAAAATGTTTCCGTTGCTTCACTCTACTGTTCTCAGATACGTTTTTTCTGTCGTTAATGAGAACTTGTAGCCCAACCACTCAGTCATTTTGATAACCTGTAGGCTACAAGTAGGTCACTGTATTCTTTCTACATTACTCTGAATGTGCCTTTGTTCTTTTTGTTTATAACTTGTCACAATGCTGCTCTATGTCTATGTACTTAAATAATTGGAAAGCTTGTAAAGCAGGATTACTAAATAATCTGGATACCTTCACTGAGGTAAACCTAGAATCGCTTTAAATGTGGGGAAAAAGGAAAGTAAGTAAAAGAGATTTTTTAGGTTACAGCCCATGAACCTTTGTTTTTAAACCTTTATAATTCCTGCATAACAAAAAAAATATATAACTAAATAAGCAACAATCAGATTAAGAAACACATCTTTAGGCAATTTTTATTTTTATTATTTGACATTTTGTTTACATTTTAGTTTAAACAAACAAAATTGTAATTAATTGGTGTGCTTTAGAGGTGCTGTTAGTTGAATTTTGTTACCTTTGTTCCTTTTTAAAGGACCAGTGTGTAGGATTTAGTGGCATCTAGTTGTGTAGTTCATGATTGCAACGTCCTCACCTCACCCTCCAGTTCCAAGTGTGTACAGGAAACTATGGTGGTCGTAAAAAATTTTTTTTCCATTCTGGTCTGTAGAAACATGGCGGACTCTACACTGCTAGATGCCACTAAATGGTACCTACAAGTCCTAAATCCTGGTCCTTTTAATATAGGACTCTGCCTCTCGTAGTAAGAAGCTGGCAGGGAGTGTTTGTAGGGCCTTTTTTATCAGCGCAGTCCAGTTAAATTGGTAATTCTGCTTTGTGAGACAGGTCTCTGTGGCTTTTCCCAACAATGCTTGCAGACAGAAATCGCTGCCCACAGAATTCTACACATCATAGTTATTGGAAAGGACCTGTGGTATTTCTCAGCTGACCTGGATGCAGATGAGTGGCCAGAAGATGGGGCGTAAAGGAGGGCAAGAAGATGAATGATCCCCATTATCTCCTGCAGGGAGAAAAGAGGGGGAGACGTGTCTGCTGAGTAATTCATAGGCTCACTCTATCATTCCCTGCTTTTCTTCCCTCCTCCTTTGTTTGCTCTGTAAACCCTCTGATTACGAAGTCATTTTTAGTCCATTGCTGGTGTTTGCTGGTAAACTGCCAAACCCCTGGTTGGTCATTGCGCTTGTTTTGCCTGCCCCAGCCTCCCCCCCATATTCAGCAAACGTTTACAGAGGAGAATTGTAAGTTTGGGTTTAAGTGGTCCCTGTCTTGTTTATGGTAATTTGAAAGTGGTTGTAGGTTTGTACCAGGTTTTAGATGTTTGGAAGAAGATCCAACTGCATAAATGTGACATAAATGCTTTGCAGATGTTCTGCAAATGCATAATGAAAATGTTCATGATAATTGCATAACAGATTATCCAGTCTTTGTAATGATAGATGCTGTTTTGATTTGTTCTTACTCTTACCTATTTCCTTGTGCCTGCTGCTGCAATGACCCAATTTCCCCCTGGAGATCATTAAAGTCTCCCCTTATCTAATCACATAGATAAGGTGAGACTTTATTCACCATAGACCTATAGGTAGGCAACCAGTGCTGTCAAGTAGCTGTAATGAGATGGTGATGATTAAACTTACACATGCTTGTCAACCTGTGGTACTGATAGATAGAGGCTTGATGGTGTAATGATCAGTGGTGTGTATTTTATGGACCGCAGTAAATCCTTTTTTCACCTCGTTTGAAAGTTCACAAGGGCCTTAAACCTTTGGGCTTTGATTAGCCGGGAGATCCCTCACATCGGAACAAGCGCTCTTAATTTCTCCCTCAACTGTAATGGAAAGACTGTATTACACAATGTGATAAAGTAGGCAGACAGGATAGAAACAAAAATAAAGTTAATGTGTGAGAGAGAACAGCCTCAAATAAAGAAATAGCTATAAAATGAAGCTATCAAGTGCATGAGGAAATATCTGAAGTGTGACCACAAAGACATCCATATCACTGCCCCTCTGCAGTGCATCACAATAAAAAGGAAATATCCTACTTTAGTTCTGAGCAAGAAATTTGTCTTATTATATCCACTACTGCAGCCATACCTTAAAGCAGTAGTTTGGATTTTTCCATACAAGCTAGTTTGAGTTTCTCATTGGTTTACATCCACAGTTATAACCTGAGGCTACAAGCTTCACCCAGTTTGCTGCTGAACATTTTTGCAAGTTAGCAGCTGTCCTAGACTTATCTGGCTACAATCCCACAATGTATAAAACACATTTTAATATCCATATAACATCTACTGTCATAACAATAATTTTATAACCCAGTCTTTAAAATATGTGGCTATTAATGACATATTTTCCCCAGATGCATAAAAAGCCTTAAAATATCTTTTGCAAGCTATTATTTTAATCCAACCGAAGAACCCTACAATAACGCGTTATATAGGCCTATTATACAATCAAGGTCATAGGCCTGCATACTAGGTGGGGTTAGTGGATAGCTTTTGAGGTCAGAAGTTTCATAAAACCTCTTTTTGGAAAGAATGAGTGTACAGGAAAACCCCAGTGAGTTGGCCTAC